CACCATCCATTTTAAATTATATCTCTTGAGAGTTTTCAGTTATTTTCCTTTCTTTCAAACACAGCTTCCCTGTGTGTCTCGGCTCTGAAGTAGAGGGCTGAATTCAAACTGCAGAGAAATCTGTTAGAAAATGCCTGGGGGTATATGTGGCACAAAGACATAGGAACTTTATCTTCTTTTCTGGCTGCTCTGAACTGATTGTGGGGATTAATGATTTATCTTTCTTTAAAGAACTCCTTGGAGCTACATAGTCTCAAATCAGATAAAGTATATACTATTCCTCAATCAGGCACCTGCCAACTTAGGTTCAGCCTTTAATCTGGGCAGTTGTAGTTTTACAAAGATTTGACTTCAAGAAAAGTTTCCTGAGAGATATCATCAGTGTTCATCATTTTTCCAAAACCTGTATGATATTCCTTCTGTTAGCCTGGAATAATTATGAGAAGAAAGGAGAAATAGCAGAAATTTGCCTTTCTGCTGAGAACAATGCCCAGCCACACCTCTATCCTGGGTAAATCCCTTGAACAGTGTGTGGGGCTTGAGCTGGCTCCTGATACAAGGACAGAGGTTGCCTTGGAGAGTTTCACAGGCACATTTCCTCCTGCCCTCAGGACCTGGTTGGTTACCTCTAGGGTTGGTTTCCAGCAAGCACAGGAAAAACAGGGAGCTCTCTCATCCAACCACTTCCAGTTTGCTACAGATTTACACATCTGTGCAGAAAGGGAGCAAGGGATCAGTCAGAAGCAGAAATACACAATATTGGTCCATAGACAAGTGTTCCAGAGCTCACTATGGGTGTTGGTGGAAATGCACCCTTGTGGCTCAGTGACATTAAATCTGATTATTGACTCCCTTGTAACGAAGTCAGTGGGAATCATCTTGTTGAAAGCATGTTTGGACCAGATACCTTTGTGATTCATGCCCTCATTTATATGAATCCAAAGTGGGATTTGCTGTCTGTGGTAAAAAAGAAAACTAGCTGTTCACCCACATATACAATAAAAGAGAATTCACACACAGTCAGAGGTCTGCCAAATGCAAGACAGCTCCAGAGAAAAATGGCATTGTAAACCACTTCATAGCTTAAAAGAAAATAAGCTGGGTGTGCAACAAGGTAGGAACCATCTGCTTGGCTTCAGTGGGAATTTCCCCAGAGTAATCATTGCAGGGGTGGATAGATCATGAAATAAAGGAATTTTTTTCTATCTCTCATAATTAAATTTACTGGGTTTCTGCAGAACAGTTCCTGGCACAAAGACATGTAGATGCAATACCTTATCATTGTAAAGCTACATAATTACAGTGATAAACAAGCTCATTTAGTTTAGCAGAGTCTCACATTTTGTCTGACTGACAGACCTGAATTTTCTACACATCATAAGTCCATTTTTTGTAGTCATGTCAGATTTCCCATTCAGCCACTGCTCCATGCCTTTCCTCCTCACAGCATCCAAGACAAGTGTCTGCTGGATGTAGTACCAGTTCTAGGAAGCTAAAATTTGAAGGGGTGACCTTATTTGCTTCATTCTTCTTCATGACATTCAGACAAAGCAGTTAACCTCTACGCAGGTCTTCTGTAAAGTTAGGAGCAGAGAACATGAATCAGGAAGGTGGAGGTCTGCATGACCTTGTAATAAATTAAAATTGTCCTTAGACTTGACGCTTTTGGCCCTGCACAATAAATTCTTGATCAGGATGTAAGTTAAACCCACTCCTGGTTTGCTTCCACTGTGGAATCTGGAATTAATATTGCAGGTAGTGATTCTGCTATAATGCAATTGGAATTAAATATTGCTGTCAATCTAAGTACATTTAATTAAGCAATATTTACAGAGCAGGTGGATGCTCTGAGGACTACAATGCAGTGACCTGGAATTGTTCAAGTCTTCATTTTCTTTCTTTTTTATTGTCATACTTCAGCATTCCAGCTCCTTTTGCCCTGGTAATTTGACACTGTGTCACATCCTCACAGCTGACCTTTAGAGGACAAGAAGCTGGGATCATTGTGTTGGTTCTGTGCTTTTCCCCTTACAGTTTCATATAACACATATTAGATTTACTTTTATTTTCTATGTGAAATGAAACCAATCTTGAGAGTTACACTCTCAAGAGTCAGAAATAACATTTTGTTGAATCATTTTGAATATGCTAAGCTTTATTTTTCCAGCTTCTATGCTAAGTGGAAAAGGCCAAAAGAAGTAACAATAATTGTCCAGTCTTGTATGTACTATTAATTAAAAATTAATAGATTACATGTTAAAAGAAAGATGAATTATTTATCTCCAAGCAGTGGGCCTGATTAGGAAAATCCACATTCTGGCTGTATTTTCTCAAAGTAAGTCAAATACAGAAAGTAATTATCTCCCACAAAAGAGTTTAATATTATACTAATTATATATCTTGAATGCAAATATAGTCAGGTAAGTTTACAGAGACAGACAGAAAAAATAGAAATAAGGAAATATTTCTAGAATAGGTGCCCTTTTTTATCTTTTGCAATGTTTAATTGACTTTCTAATGTTCTGTTTAGCAATATTGTTCTCTGTAATCAGAACCAGAGGAAAAATTATCAATAAGCAAGGAACCAGCTTTTCTAAGAAGTCCCATACACCATGAGCAAAGTCCTTAAACTTCAGGGCTCTGGCAGCATTTTTCCTTCCAGGAGCACAACGAGGATTTTTTGTCTTGTGGCTGCAGGGCTGAGAGTCACCGGTGCTGTCTGAGCTCTGAAGAGCACAAGAGGAACCCACAAGCCCTCAGATGAACCCAGAACTTGAGATTTTGCTCCACTTCTTTTTCTCTAGGCATCCTGATTGTTCCACATTTAGAACACATAAATGTTAGATGAATTTGAGCTGGACCATGAAAACCCTGCTTATTCACAGGGCAGTCCCACCACTTGGATCCTTGACTCCACTGCTTGAATCCAAACACAGAGAATTCCCAAGCTGGCATCTGCCCTAATCCACACAGCTGGAGTGGTTTAAAGATGCTTCTGTGTACACAATATTTGGGTCTGATGTGACTTTCAGGGTGACAGCCCACAGTCTTTAGTAATTTCCTGAGTTCTTTATCAGTCTTCACAAACATGATATTTTGCACTAAGAGGCTGCTTAATAGACTCAGAGTGCAGCTCCCATTAGAATTCAGCAGAGCAAGGATTTTCCCACCTTCTCAGAAAGCTGCGCGCCGGGCTGTGTGTCCTGCAGCAGCACGGCTGTGCTCAGCTCTGCAGGATGAACCAGATGTGTGCAGGGCAGGAGCTGTTCTGGCAGCCAGGGGGGAGCAGCAGGTGCATCATCCCCTTCTGCTGTGGTCAGATCAGCCGGGGCTGTGGGGCAGAGCAGCCTCTGAGCAGCGCAGCACAAACCCCCGGGGAGCGCTGAATCTCTGCTTTGGGTCCTTAGGGCAGGGCGTTACAGATTTTTTTCTCTATAATGCGCATTTTGAGGTAAATACCAGCTGCAGTGAAGCGTTTTCCCTGAACCAGTCTGTTAGAAAAGGGTGAAGCTGCTGATGTGCCATTGCCGGGATAGCCCAGGGCCGCAGCCATGAGGAGCAGGAGCCGCCCCAATCACCGGGATCACCCGAGTCCCGTCGGGCTGGCTTTAGCACAGCACAGCGACCGGGGCTGCCAGCCCCCACTGATGATGAACTGGCCGTGCAGGCTTTAATTAGCCAGCGACAAGGCAGAATTATAAGCACTGTTTTACGAGTGCAAAGTAAATACTCGCTCCCCTGCCTTGGCCGTCCCTGGGATTTATTGGGCGCTTGGATGTGTCCATGCCTCAGAGCCAGGGAGGCAGATGCTGGGGGAGTGAGGAAGAGGCTTTTGCAGCCTGACCCCTGAGGAGGAATAGCTGCAGCCAAGCCTTTTATGCTGGCACATTTTTCTGAAATATTTATGCCCGATCACCCGTTGTTGTTTACCTCAGTGCCTCCTCTCCTCGCTCACCGCGGGCTGCCTTATCAGACAGTCTTTGCAATTTAGGGAGCACAGAAAAAAAGTTAGGAGACCGAAATTAGAGAAAAACCTTTTTGGCACACACTGAAGCTTCCACTAAGAGAGCTGTGGGGAATTAATTGCCAGGCAGGAAAGGCTGGGAGTGGGGCCTGGCGGGTGCCCCAGCAGCGTGGTGCAATCATGTGAAGGGCAGAATTCCCTCATCTCGGCAGGCGTGACTGCTGTGGATTTAGGTAGGAGCTGCTTTTCAGGACCAGCTATTGTTGTTTCAGCCAACCCATGCTGGATGCCTTCCCCTTGGCTGCTTGCAGAAAGGGCAGCTGCAGCCACAGCAGCAACCACAGCAGGGACTCTGGGAAAAGCCTGAGAGCAGGAGGCAGAAAGTAGGTTAACCTGAAAGATGAGAGTGGGAGCACTGCTCTATAGACATCTTTCTTATAGGATTTGATATATTCACTTTTTAGTGTCTCAGAAGCAGAGGGTGTTGCTTTGCATCACTGTCAGCGAGGAGGGAGCTGAGCTCCCTCCCTTCGTGCTCCCCCTGTGACCTGACTGCTGCAGGAGAAGGGAAGCCCACAGAAAGTCAATATGGATAAAACCCTGTTGAATTCTGGTATTGGTCAGACTGCTGGTGGAAGGGTACAGCCTCCCCCGGGTCACAGATTTAGCTGAGAATAGCAGATTTGTCCTTTTCAACAGTTTTGCAAGACAAGGTGCTTTTGCTGTGGGATTTTGGGGTTGCTTTGATCAGTTTTGGGTTGTTTTTCCTTTACTGTGTCTAGATCCAGGCTGCCTGAAGATAACCATGTGTTTGCCAGCGATTTCAGTGAAATAGGAATTTGACCTTGAAATATGCTGAGTTCACAGGCTATATAAACTAAAATATTTTGTATGTTTGCTCTGAATCCAGAGAGCCAGAGAGCTGGTGGTACATTTCCCCACTGCAGAGATCTGCTGAAAAGCGTGAACCTTGATTTAAAGGAAAGCCACCATTGCTGATTGTGTGTCGTATCTTAGATGGAGAGTGGAAGGAGAATTGAGATCAAATACAGTTTATTGACTTTATTCCTTCCTTAACTAACAGGCGAACTTCTGAAAATGTGCACACTAGCCTTTTTATGAAATATGAAAGCGAGCACTAAATTAAAATCCTCAAATCACCAATTCAGAGCCCACAGAAATATTTTTTTTTTCCATTTCTTCATCTATAATTTCCGGGCTGGAGCTCTAGCCATTAATAGCAGCTACATCATTGCAGTGCCGACACTTCAGCAGCACCCTCATCCATTTCAGTCATTGATCCACTAATGTGTGCCGGATGAGAAAGGAAAAGGGCGGCTCATTCATCCTCCCCCTCCTTCCTCCTCCTCTCACCAGGTGGCAACCACTCACCCACTGCTTTAAATCCCTATCAGATTTCAGAGGCTCAGTGTTAATTGTCCCTGTACAAGGACTGACCCCAGACAGTGAAACGAAAATTAAAGTAAAGGGGCCGTGGAAGTGGGTGAAATGCTGCAGGAGGGGATGGATCTGCACCTGCTTTCCTTGGCCCACAGACTGCAGAGAGCACTGGAAATGACAACAGAGCTGGAGCTGCAAAGCACACTTGTAGGCATTGGGTTCTTCCTGGAATATGAAGCCATACAAGGAAAAGAGTAAGAGAAAGGCTAAAGAATTTAGGCAATAAGAATAAAGGGACAGCAAAGAAATGATACTTTGAATAGCATCAGCTGCACAAGTAATACTGTAATTCAGGTTGCATGTGGAGCAAAAAATATTCTTCCCACGGACATCCATGGGTAATCCATATTGGAGCCCTGTTTGGGTGTTTTTCTGACTTACAGAAATACTGAGCTGAAAGATATATTGCTTATGCCTGTAGCTTGCTGGGATGTCCCAATCCAGAAACCTGATTTTTAAATTTTTGGTTTTTAATCTATCCAACTAACCTGTAGGTACATTCTTCTTTCCCTTTCCACTCTGCTCGGTACTTCTACTCTTTTATTCTCATATTCCTTATCTTTTTATTGCTCATTTTGGGGATCAAAGTGCAAACAAAATAAAAATCCTGTTAGTTTTCAAAGGTCCACACAGCAGTAGATAATTGGTTTCCAATCAAGCCCAGACTTCTTTGATCTCCAAAGTCCTCACAAAGAACATTTTGCTAAGACACAAGCATGTGTTTGGTAGCACTACCAGGAGATCTAACTCTGAAAGTCTGCGATTACCTGAGCAGTGACACTCATAAAGATGAGAGGGACTGATTACAATGCTGTGTTCTTACACCATCTTCCATTGTTCTTACTTTAATGAGACATAACTACCCCCTTCTGAAGAAATACTGTCAGTAATATTTCTCTCATGCTGTATGGGTCATGCAGCAGGGTCAGGAACAGAAACCAGCTTCTGCCAGCTCCCCAGACCACAGCTCAGCCCCATAAGCACCCTTCCTTCTCAGATTGCTGCTCTTTCCAGTTCTGCCCATGGAGACAAAAGGAAATGTGCTGCCCATTCCCACCTTGGTTCACATTTCCACCTCTGCAGTTTATAACCTTTGCCTGTGCTGGCTGAACTTTCTGAGCTGTGGTGCAATGACCAGTGTAATGTTGTTTATATAACACAATGCCCAGCAGCTAAGGATATGAACTTTTGAAAACCAGCTTTGCCACCAGAAAAACCATGATGTGACACTACACCCCTGTTCATCTTTGCAAGGACTTAATCTCTTCTGTCACTTTGAATCTCAGTGACCTTCACCTCAATTTCCCTTATTCATTTCATGCCTTTCTCTCTCCACCCACAACTAAATCCAACAAAACATGGATGGAGTTGGTCTTTTCTCCTGGGTGACAAGAGCAAATGGACTCAAGTTGCACCAGGAGAGGTTTAGATTGGATATTAGGAAAAATTTCTTCACTGAAAGGCTGGTCAGGCATTGGAAGGCTGCCCAGGGAACTGCTGGTCACCATCCCCTGCATGGTAGATTTAAAGCTGTGTAGATTTTGAGCTGGATTTTAAGATGTGTAGATGTGGCCCTGGGGGACATGGTTTAGTGGTGGTCTTGACACCACTAGTGCTGGGTTAATGGCTGGACTGGATGATCTTAGAGGTCCTTTGCAACCAAAATGATTCTATGTGTTCATGCTACAAAAACATGAGATATGGTTAAATGACTGATCTTAGGTTTGTAGGAATCTCTCTGATTTTTCTTTGAAACCTTTATCCTTTCCTTTTCTTTTTATTTTTCTTTATTTTTTCTTTTTCTTTCTTTTTTTTTTTTTTTCTTTCCTAGTCTTCATGCCAGGGCTCCCCAGCAGCAAACATTTCTTCATGTATCAAGGCAGCATCATTTTCTGCAATCTGGAGAGGCAGAGTGCACAAGATGCACAGGTGCATGCATGCCAAAATCTAGAACTGACTCTGTTTCTTTAAATAAACAGAATACATTCATTTACCTTAAAATAGGACTCCTGTCAAGCTCCTGCCCTAGAGCAACTACCAATTGCACTGTCAAAATCACTCTCTGTGGTTCTGAATAGGTTTCTTAATGAAAGAGCAACATTAGCTCTTTAGAACATTTTGTCCCTGAAGGATGCAGCAGCAACAGCCACAGAATCATTTCTGGCTCAGACACGCTTATAAATGGTGGAAAACATAATGGTTTAAATTGTGATTATCAGCTCCCTGGAAATGCTTCACAACAGTGGTTCAGGGAACCAAGAGACAAATGGATACTAAGAATGGTACCCACTGATGAGAGAGAGCTTTGTTCCCCACATGGACACTGACCCCCTTAAACATAATTATGGTGTGAGTAGGTTGCCACTGAAACAATGCAAAACCCAGGGAATTAAATTATTTGGGACCAAATCCAAAGAAAAATATGTTCTGGTGAAATTAAATTTTAGTATTTGCTGGATTAAATAATGATGATCATCTGAATGAAATTCCATGTTTCTATTTTAGCAGTCTGGTCAGACTGTCACAGTAGCAATTTTTTATTCTGGATAAACCTGGAGGCAGCAGTGGAGTAGAATATGACTTGAGTAGCTATGTTTATATTTAAACCAAAGAAAAAGAGCTTTTCTTATAAAATGCATGGTTGGAGACAGGACTTGGGTGTTTTCTTGTTTCTTTAATAGGCATGGTGTGGCTGCAGTCAGCTCAGTTGGAGCTACAGCACCATTTAAATGTTGAAGATTGGTATTTACCAACAGCCTCATGCATATCCCCAGTCTGGGCTCCAGACAGATTTCAGATCAAATGTCACTGATCTCAGGCAGGAAAAGCCCTCAAGCAGCTTTTCCACAGCATGGAGGGTATCAGGATCAAAACCAACAACAAAACAGATGACATTTTTCATCAGAAGATGGAAGTATCTGTCTCTGCTTTGTCAGAGTCTTCTCCCTGGCAGCAGGAGACTAAACTGTTCCTGGTGTGTTTGATCCTCTTACCTCCTATACTTGCAGCCTGTTCCAAGAGCCACATCAGCCCAGATGTAATTATCACAGAAAGAAGCAGCTTTTTCTAGACACAAAAAATTCCAGTGCCTATAATAAAACAGTTAAAAGTGCTCTTCCTGTGTTTTATCCCATTTTCTGATGTTGTGGTCCCTTTCCCTGCTCCCTAGGGCTCAGTGGTCATGTTGGTGGTGGTGCCGAAGCCTTTCCCCAGGAGCACTGTGACGTTCATGGTGATGCTTTTGTCTCAGTCTAAGACCTGTTTGGGTTCATTTATACATTTGCTAACCCATTTCATACCTTGCAAACTCAGCACTAAACCTGTGGCCTGTTAACAGTGATGGCAATACAATACAACAGGGATCCACAGCTACATTATTATGCTATTTTTAAATTTCTCATTTGTTTGTCATCCAACTCAGACCCTGCTAACACATTGCTCAAAGTAGGGGATCAGCAGAATATCAGGAGTTAATGAAAGCCAGCTCATTCCATACTGCACTCAGGGTTGATGTCTCCTTTGCTGTTTATAAAATTCCATGGAGCATCTGGAATAAATGGTACTGAATTAATACAATGCTATAAATAGGTTAATCAGGTGGAATCTTCAGCTGCTGAAATAGTGGAGTTACACAATTATACTGACCTTGGCTCATTATGGTGCAAGTTTTCATTATCAAATTTCAGTTCCAACCTGGAGAACTTCTCTATCTGGCATTTGGGTCAGCTTATGCTTGCAGTCCACACTTTTCCACTGAAGTAATAAACAGTGAGGCCAATGTTGGAGCAATTTCTTAGGGGCTTCTAGTAATTGTTCATAAGCTGCTGGGCACAGAAAGTTTCTGTAGAAAACTGAGTCAGGACTAAGAAGCCAAGCCCCTTCCACCAAACAGTTTAATACCTGAAGAGCTGAAAAGATGAATTTCACCTATACAGCTTGCACTTTAAAAATGTAAATGAAGTCTATACATGGAATTCCTCTGTGACAGCTTCCTCTATTAACAGACTAAGTCATCCATCTGTCACAGGGAGACAAAAACCTATTTGCCACTAAAAACCACAAACTCAACAAAATTGCTCAGAATACTCAGCATCACCTCAGTGCGTGGTTAGTAAGCAAACTGCTTAAAAATAATGAAACAATTGGCAGCACAAGACAGTGATCAGGGCTAAAGAGTAAAATGTGCCTTGAAATGGCATCAACTGCTGCAGAGGCTGGCTGGGATTATTAGCATGGCATCATTTACAGTTCTCACACCTTTGCTTCCTCCTGGAATAAAATGAAATATAAAAATTGTGGTTTCCAGGATAAGTATATATGCCACAATCTCTAAGTACCCATCATAATGTATTTCCATTTTCTACACCAGAAGTAAAAGGCAGAAACTTTTCATGTTGCAGCTTTCCCCTCTTAGGCAAGGCCAGCCAGAACTGTCCTTGCCAGCATCTCACTTGCCAGACATAAATTGGAGAGAGAGGAAGCCGTGACTGCTTGATCAGATCACATTTAATCATATCAAGGCATCTATTTTTTTTCATTATTCTGTTTGGTTGATATTTAGAAACAAAAAGGCAACCTTATTTTAGGAATTTGGTAATTAGAATTATATTAGTAGATCAAATTGACATTTGGAATTAATTATAAAAGGGGAGAAAAGGGTTTGTGCTCACTCTTGATCTTTTAGAATGTAAAAATATGGTCTGATAAGCATATTTGCCATCTTGGAAACATGAAGGTTTATTGTGATTTATTAGCTGATATTAAACCAACTCCTTATTTAATGATCTAAGCTGAGATCATGGCTCCAGAGAAGCAGACATTATATAAATATATATATATATATATATATAAAAAAATATGTATGTATGTATAAAATGAAACTTCTCACACAGTTTTGATGCATTATTTAGCCAGTATTACTACTACTTTTCCTAAACTTTGGCAAAAAATCAGGGAACAGCTGAGTTCTAAGTGTTAATGGAAGGTCTTATTTACCAACAGCAAATTCTTCTCATCCAGCCTTCTGCTGGATGTCTCTAAGAGGGTAATCTCTAATTGTCTACTTCAATTATTACTGGCTTAAGTATGTATCTTATATGATCTTGCTAAGTTTTTGCCAGTGTAAGCAAGGGGTGACTGCATTCCTTAGTAATTTGTGATTGTTTGAACAAAGAAACAGCATAAAATAATAAAGTTTAAGCAATTAGAAATATTATAGGTATGATACATATTTCACATCTATTATATATAACTGGATATGAAATATGTTACTCCTCACATTGGTTTACCTTTACTTCGGTGGTAACTCTTTAAAAAAATGCCCTTTGAGGGTTACAAACTGTTGTATTTCTCCTGATCCCAGACAAGTTGTCCCCCACATGCCAGAGCTGATCCAGGTCCTGTCCCTGTGCTGGCACCAAACACGGCTGTTGGCAAGCTCAGAAGTGCTGCCAGGTCAATAGAAGATATTGGTTTAAGGGTCTTTCTTTTAAACATGTCCAGACTATTTGGTTTTCTTCAGTAACCGCTTTTTTCTTAATTTTCATCCCTGTTTTTCCTTCTGAAAAAACATTATCAGAAATGCCATGGTGGGTTTGTGAAGCAGAGTGAAGACTGTGTGCAGTCCTGCTGACAGCAAGATTTCCACAGATTTCAGTGTGTCCAGGTTTTCCCTCTGAGCACTCCACCACGTTTGCTATGCAAATGGGATTTCCTCCTGTACAGATCCTGCAGCTGGACCTGGGTGGGCAGAAGCAGCTCTGATTTCATCCATGCTGTCCATAACCCCCCCTGCCTGCTGAGCTGCACAAACTGCTGACTACTGAATCCTCAAGGTGAAGGGCAAGACAAAAAAACATTTTCAGCTATTTGAAAGGATGGAATTAACAAGGTAGGAGAATGTAAGTCTAAAAGCCAGGATAAACAATACAAAGATATTTCTTTTGCCTTTCAGGAAGCTGAAAAGAAAATCGTCTGGAAATGTGCAGTCTTGATGGACAGCCTGCTAACAGTAAAAACAGAAGTCTCTGAAACGCTAGGAAATAAAAATTCATGACCCAAATTAAGAAATATAAACTTGACAGGTGCTTCCTGTGGATGTGGAGATGAGGGAAGTAGAAGAGGGTTTCTCAAGTAAAGGATAATGACGATGCAGAGAGCAGGTAATTTGTTTTTTCTCTCCAAGGCAGCTCAGCATGGGGGGATCCTGCCCTGCTAATCAACCTGTGCTGCGTGTGATGGGTGCTGCATCTGCAGAGGGGCTCTTGTGTCACTGAGTGGAGCTCGGGAAACCTGAAAATTGCTTTCCTCAGGCTGCAGCAACTTCCCTCATTTACAGGAGATGCTCAAGGGGATCAGTCCTTCTCCCTGCTTGCCAGCAGAACAAAGCCAAGTCATGCTGGAATTGTTCATCAGCTGGGAGTCTGAGGATGTAACTGTGTTTGCCTCACCTCACTGACACAGGTCGGTTTCCTCGTGAAACATTCCATGGATTTTGTCCAGTCTGGCTTCAAAAGTGAGAGGTTACAGGCTCCTTCCTCTTCTGATCTAGTGACATTCAAGGTTAGGAAGTTTTCACTGACAAGTTTTGGTTTGCCTGAATGATATAACTTCATTCTTAATTGCATTATTATAAATTAAGGTTTCATAATTATTTCAGTCTTGCTGCTTAAGTCTTCCAAACCTTTTTATTGGGAACTAATGTTCCTCTAACCCTAAGCCATAATTTAATTGTGCTAAACTTAGTTACCACTGTTGCTCTGCTCTCCAAAATAAGATCTTTTGCTATTTTCTGCAGAACTTCCTGTATCCTGTCTCTTGTTATACGTATTACACAGCACAAAGACTTAAATTTTAACCTGCTTCATCCCTCCAAACTGGAATTTAGATACTACACACCTTCAAATATATAAAACAAACACCACATTTCTGCCATGCTCAGGGCAAACTACTGAAGCAGGTTTATCTTCACTGTCTAGGGCTCCCTGTGGAGGATACCCTCCCTCTTTTTGGAAGAGAACCATTGACTTTAGAAAAGAAGTTCCAACTTTTTGAAAATTAAGGTGATTAAGAGAATATGTTTCTCCAGCCTAGCACAGAAACAGGCTTCTCTCTTTCATGTGTTTCCTTATTCTTCAGTCTGTAAAATGTTTCACTAGAGGAAGGGGACACCATACAAACCCCTACTGAGTTATGATGCTGTAGAGCAGAAAAAGCTAGCAAGATGAATCTACTTTTTTTTTTGTCAGAGTTCCAAGACACTGACAAAGCTGTGAGTTCCACAGCACTGTTGTGGCAGATTTTATACCAGCAGCAGCATTAATTGTAATAACCAGCAGGAACTCAATGAAGCATAGTTGAGAATGGATGTGCCATCCTAGCAAGGGCAATCAGGTAGCCCAGTGAGACACCATGTTCCAAGATTTTATCCTCACAGACCTGACTCCAAAGGCACACATCTAACTCCAAAGGCAACCAGTCAAAACATGTAAAATTTAAAATTTCACACCCTCTTTTTGGCGTTTCCAAGAAGCTTGTGACACCTGAAAATTTTAATCCACCATATGCTTGACTTGATTCCTGAACTGCTCTTCAGTTCTTTCTCTCAGCATTCAAAGGGAGTCTCAGCTGATAAAAGATGCACCAGGAACACACGGTTCAGGCTGAAAGGGCTCATACAACCTGGGACAGATTCACTTCACTGAGCATTAATCCACTTTAATCCAACTGGATCACATACCAAACCAGCAAAATCCTTGAGGCTTTGACAGCACCAGTTCTGCTGATATTTAAAGGTTAACAAAATCAGTAGATCCTGTGCTACTTGTATCTACACTGAGAACTCTGGTTGATAATCTGTACAATGAGTTAATGAATATGAAGTAGAGACCACACACTTATAGCACTCTTTTCCTCCCACCCCCATAGGATGCAGAGCCCCAAAATCTTGTATCAGAATGCAAGTGCCATAAGATAACCATGCTTCAATAACTCAGTCATTTCAAGAATATCAAAATAGGAGAAAAAATATAAGATGCAAAACATTCCATTTTGATACAACTTCCTCACTGCTTGAGAAAGCAAAGTCTCCCTAAATCTCTGAATGGCTCATGCAGGCACAGCAGATAAATGATCTGGGGTGGGAGATGACAATCTCTGAGACCAAGAGGATGGGAGAAAGATGCAGAGAGCTATAATGAAAGCTGTCAAGTGCATCATCTTGCAGTAGCACTGTTCTTATGAAAGATGTAAGAGCACTTGCAGATGTTAAATACTGAGAAGGAGCAGCTTAACATCCAAGTGCAGCTCTCAGAGGGGATCCTACAGAGCAACAAGATTTTTAAAAGGCTGATGAAAACCAGAAGGAAACCAAAAGCAGAAAAAACACACAACAAACACAATGTAGAAGTATATAAAAACATATATAAACCCTGTGTATAACCCTTCCATGAAGGCCCTGAAGGAAGAAACTATGCTCACTCACCCTCATGACATTAATCTCCAACAAACCAATGCTGTGACTGACACACTCTGCACTCAAATGCAATAGAAGACCAGGGCCTTGCCCAGCTGCAGCCTTTCTGGAAGGATACCAGGGCTCCCAGGAAAGAGCTGATGTTAATCTGTGCCCGGGATGGCTCCAGCCTGCCCATTTCCCTAGGTTTCCCATTCTCCTGGGCAAGAGCATGCTGATTCAGTCCAAGCCCTGCACAGCACAGCACACAAAACATGTTTATCCCAGAAGATGCTGTAGTGACAGACTCAAAATACATGAGGATTTCAGGATCAAAGGCATAATGTAAAATGTTAAAACACATCCTGTCTCAAGGTCACGCATACAAAAATTATTACAGATTCTGTAATAATAGAAGCAGTTGCTTCACTGAAATTAATTTATTTTGAGAATATCCCTTTTAATCCTCCATGCATTTCTTAGCACAAAAAGTTGAGTTTTATCACAACCTCCTTCATAAAACTTAATCTTGTATGTCTGGTAATGTGGCTGTTTCAACAATTCCTCACTGGAAATTCCCACATTGGTGAAACCTTGGCAACACTGTTAGTAAGTGACCTACACAAAGTTTATTAGAAAATTTTTACTGAATATCCTCTGTTTAATGTAAACAAGGCAGGAGGCAAAACAAGGAGTAGATCTTTTATATAATTACACTATTTTACAGGGCACAGAAGCATTGAGGACATGGTTTGAAAACCCTGTATGATATGCAATATCAGATATGGATTTTCCATGTAGCCCCAGGTCTACTCCAAGACACTTTAATCTCACCAAGTCCTTCAGGTTAGTATTTCTTCTAGCAAGACAAACAGCAGTAATAAAATGTCACTTGTGAGATTGCACAGCAGGTTATGGTAGAAATTACCATGCATTTACAAAGCCATTCCATGATTACTTGTGCCCTGTAAAATGAAGTGTGGCAATCTTTACACTAATCATAGTGTAAGCAAGCTCAGGATTCTGGTCCTTTTATATATATATGTATATATATACATAGGTGATGTACAACCAGACTCAAGCTGTGCATCAAGTCACAGCTTTTATATTGCACAGACAAATATAGAGTAAGAACATTACACAGACAGAATCTGAATATCAAGAATATTACAGTCATAGGAGAACCTAAGGACAAACTCGTTCTACCAGAGCTAGCACATGGCTTATTACAAAAATTTCTAAATCAGAATCTAAATCAAATACATACTATAAATGAACAAAAAAAAAATAAAACAATGCTTCTATTTACACACATGTGCATCAGGATTAGAATGTGGTTTGGATCTGCTTTTTGAAATAAAAAATTATTCTAGTATCCCATCTCAAGTATTTCAATCTAATACCAGTGGCCCCATTCTCTAAGGTGATGAGCACTTGTCTTTCCCACTGACATCTGGAGGATCTGTACAAGCCATGAACTCTTCAGGCCAAGTATTTTCTCTGGTGGCCCTCTCTGGGTAATAAATAACCACATACAAACATATGCACACAGAAACAAAATGGGCTCCTCATGACATGCATAGATCAAAAAGGTGAAAACATGGACCTGAACTAACTTCTAATCATTAAAAAAGTGCATGAAAAATATCACCACAAAAAAAAATTAAATGAGTTCCATCTCTTAAGAAAGATTAAAGCACTTTTACAAAAATAAAGGTCATTGTCATCAGTATGGTAATAAGGGTTTGTAGGCAGCACACACAAAAGCAGTTTAGGCTAAAGCAACTTTAAGGATGGCTTCACTTGTGTGAGGATGGATCCATGTCTTATAAATTTATCAACTAATTAACATGTGGTTTGAAAGAGAGCATCACAATGTCACTGGAGACTGACCAATCATAGCCTGAATTTAAGAGTGATCATAGTTCTATCGACTTATTTTTGTCAGAGGATGGATCCATGTCTTATAAATGTATCAACTAATTAACATGTGGTTTGAAAGAGAGCATCACAATGTCACTGGAGACTGAACAATCACTGAATTTAAGAGTGATCATAGTTCTATCTACTTATTTTTGTCGTGGACAAGCTTAAGGAGCTGTGTTTGCAGCTCTGCAGTGCTTTGCATCAGAACACCACAGAGGCTGCAGCCTTTCAGGGTAAGGAGTTCAGCTACCAGTGACAACAGCCAGACAAAGGAAGGGATGTGAATGCTTTCATTTGAGATCAGGCAACTCTTGAATGGCTTTATCAATTCTTGTATTACTTGGAATGCTCTTGCAAGTTTTGTTTAACATTTTGCTCACTTTCCTTTACAGTAGTATTATCATTTCCAGTTTCCACTGAAACTGGGACATTACAAATATTCTGGATCACATACTTTAAAAAAAAAATAAATAGATGATTTGTGGAAAAAGTAATGAAGCTCAAGCAAAACCAACAAAGACCCAAATTCAGAAAAGCATCAGCATTTCTGCTCAACTGCTTAACTTTGTTCATGTAAAAGACTGGAATTTAAGGAAAAAATACTTTAAACTAAGTTTATGTTTAACTGTTTTGCTGAATTGGGACCTTATAAATAACAAATGTATGTATTAAACATCACTCTGCATAGAGATCAACATGTTATAAACTACGTGTCAGGTATTAAGTAAGGTCCTAATGTGGACTGTCTGCAATGCAGATCACTAAAAATGATTTGCTATATTCAAGGTATGTTTTTCAAGAAGAAAAAGAAATGCAGTTTTTTCAAATTTTATCCTACCATGCTACTTGGACCTGAAAACTCTTTGGAGCTAAATGCAGAAAAAAACCCAACAGGTGAAGAAGTAAAACATGCTTTTGTTTGTCAGAAAAATGCAACAGTATTTACAAAAGTGTCCCAGTACACGGAGCCACTGAATACAGATTTTACCTACCAAAACGTTTCCCCAGTTCCAGAACTGCTTTCTCCAGCTGATCCTGTACTGGAAGCTTTTACAGCAGGATGCTCTTCACTGGTGACAAGAATAAATTTAGCCCATTAACTGTGACAGTGCTCTAATTAACCTGCTAACTTAGAAGGTCTCTTAACATCCAGCTTCCATAAATATTAAAAAACAAGACTTCAAAGGCTTGTTTTAAAGAGCAGAATCTGATTCTAGGTACAGTCATGTAAATTCAGAGCAATTCTAGTGACTGAATAAATTAGTCCATGTTTGCATATGAGCAATGACATCTGAAATGGGCATTAGCTGTGCAAACAGGGGGCAGGAAAGACAAACGAGGAAAGGCAATGTAAACAGAAGGAGCTGAGCTCTACCTGGCCTTGCTCAAAGGAGGGGAAAGGGGTCCCACCCACGAGTGAGGGGAGCAGCACAGGTCACTGGGTGTGACTGCAACGTCCAGACAGGCTGCTGGCTGTGAGGAGCCTCTGGAGGGCAGAAGCAAAGCACCCTGAGGTGGCCTCTGCTTGCAATGCCAGTGCCTGCCCTGGCTGATGGCATTCACATGGAAAGGAAGTCACTGAGAGGCATTCCTGCATCCCAGCACTGTGAAAAGCAGTGCAAATTTTGGTCCTAAATAAGTTATCAATGCTTTAACTGAGTTGGCATCACTGTGATGGTTAGATAAGCAATAAAAATGTCTCTCAAAATAACAAAATGTTTATGCTGCCAATTTTCAAGGCACAAAGGATTCTTAAACCAATTCTAATACCAATTTAAAAGAAATTAAAAATGCTGTTTCAGCAAAAACTACTGTTGACCTATAATTAACCTATAATGTAAAGGTGACATGAGTCAAACAACTAGAGCTCCCATGTAAAAAGCTAAAGATAATTAGTTACATGGATGACCTGGAGACCAATCACTTGGAATGACAAACATGCTACAAACATGCACACTTCAGATATATTTGTTATGGATGTGATGCCGAATCAGGATTAATTTCTTTAGTATTGATTTTAGACTGATAGATTTCTTGGAGTAAACCAATGAGGAATCAAGCTCAGAGCTGTACTTAAGATCTACCAAAAGCAAAATGATCCCTCATTAACATATCCTGTTGCATATGGATTGGTGGATTTTTTTGAATTTCTTCATTTTTAATAACATACGTTGCAACTATAGGTGTGTTTTTCTTTCATACATCTAACTGAAAAGAAAAAGTATCAAGACATAAAAATGTTATAAAATTAATTTGCTTTTTAAAAAGTAATATGGTCACAAAGAGCAAATTGTTGCATGTGAGCCCCAGGACACACAAGAGCCCAAACTCTCTCAACATTGTCATCAGAATAACCAAGGTCTGATGGCTGTGGTTCTTCATGCAGCTTTTGCAGCTCTTCACACAGGGTCTAGAAATGCTGTGTATTGGTTTCTCCCCAAATGCCTTTGCTCATATTCCAAGTCCATTTGCAATCTCAACATCTGGTGAAAGCAACCTGTCTTCCCAACATCCCCTGCCACGGCCGGGAGGCACCGCCTTGTCTCCGGCGGGGCCGGGCTGCTCAGGGCGTGGCTGAGGTGTGGTACTTGACAAAGGCGATCGCCGCCAGCTCCTTGCAGAACTCTTCCAGCACAATCACGCCCTCTAGTAACGTCATGTGGTCAATGCTGGGACAGGAAGAGAATTGCAGGGAGTCAGGATTGGCACACAAACCCAGCCACGCATCTCAGAGAACGAGCAATGTGTTTACTCACATCGGCCCTTCTGGCTCCAAGCCCAGCAGGCGTTTTCTGACCAGCAGAAGTTTGGGAGTGAAATCTGGGATGCGCTGGATTCTAACCATGAGGTCCCCGACCACCTGTAAAGCCCAGGCCATTAACACACAAAGTTAACACCTCTGCAGAGTGCCTGGCAGCAAGGTTCAGTGGCAGCTTCAGAGCCCACTTCAGCATCCTCACAGGCTCACAGAACAGCCTGCAGAGAGGCTGCTCTGCCCAAGAGGGTGAGTGAGTGCAGAAAGTAAAGAAATACAAAAGCCTTACTTGCTCTTGTCACAAATGGCATTACTTCTTTTAATTACATCAATGATTCATTTGTCTTTTTAAATGTTGACACAGACAATCAACCAGTGAATTCCTGGGCCTCATGAAAGCACAAGGGGAGAGAGTGAAGGCTGTATTTTGGAACGGGGAGGGCTGCTGGGGAGAAAGGGAGCCATGCCCTCTGTTACTTGGGCAAGCATCATTATCAGGCTCCTGACCAGCCCTGTAACAGCTGGTGCGTGGGGTAAGAGAGGGATTCTGTATTCTGACTGAGGACACTGCAGTGTGACAGGCACCCAGCCAGCACTTCTAGGATGCAAGTCTGGCAGGAAGAGATGGAACTGGAGAAGAAGGGGACTTTTGATAAATCCAGGACTTAATTATCAAGAACACCCTTCATCAGAAAAAAAAAAAAAGAGTGTAAGCAGAGATACCCATGTAGGCCCAATCTTGACTTGAAATCAGCTTTCAATGACAAACATTTACCAACATAAAATACCCAGCAACTACCAGAACTAATGGCAAAGTTATTAAACATATTACCATTGCACAGCCATGTGTAATTATTGCTGTGTTTACTCACCCTGACAATCACAGAGAAGAGAGACTTGCAGCCAGAGGCGAGGTTGACGTAAGGATCCAGAAGGTATTCGTGTATGTGAGGATGGGGAAACAGGGACAGTTTGGACAACACTGACGTAACTTGTAAATTTACATCATAGGGCTGCAAAAAGAGGGAAACACACTGCTTAGTTATTTTCATGCTGGCTTCTTTTTATCCACCTCATGTTTATTTAACTACCAGAACTTTTTCCACAGGGTTATGAATAAATAAAGATAAAAAGTTAGATTAGAAGACAGGCCCAACCTCTGCTTTTCACAACAGCAGTGCTGTGACTATGACAGTCGGGCATTAGATGTTATTATCTGCACTGCTACTACAACCACTTGAAGCTTTTGCACACTTATTTATTGCAGGGCAAGTGCTCTTCCTGTAAAACATTTCTTCTGCTAAAGAAATAGCATGGAATCAGCCTAGATTAAACATCTGCTTGCTTCTCCTGGGAAATTGTAAAGTATATGAGCTCAGGAAATTGCCAGAGACCAATCCATGTTTACAGCTAATAGGTTATTTCTCTTCTACTTTATTTTTTTCTGGGGAAGAACCACTGCAGAAGGCCTGGCCATCTTGTGGCAGCAACCTATGGGAGATGGGACCAGGGCTGAGCTGGGAAAGCAGCAGGAAATCCTGAGCTTCTTGTCTACCTCCCTTCCCCAAATCAATCAAATGGGAGAGGCAACACTGTCAGATGCTGGAAAATGCTTAGCAGTCATAAGGAATAAAACAGTACCTAAATTTCCAGGAAACAAAAGGTGCCTAATTTAGAGGATTTGACCATTCTAGTAAGAAAGTTATTTCCATAAAAGCAAGAATTTTCACCATGGCTTCTTTATGTTTCAAAACTTTTATTTTGTCTTTGATTTTGTCATCCCAGTGAAAACAAGCTGACATTTTAATTCAGCCCAGAATTTGCAAACTAGTAGAACCTCCTTCCATTTTTTCAATGGCACAACAAACTAAGTTGACAAGAGAAGGACAGACATTCCTTTGGTACACCTCTGTGTCAATCAATCTTGTTGATCTGAGTGGATTACAGGGCCCTCATTTAATCTCTGACTGCATATTGGCAGTAATACCCTCACTGGCATCATCACACCTGGAAGAGGAGGATTCACTGACCTCAAATTCTCATCTTTATGCTCTCAAGTTAGCACTTGAAGAATAAGAGAACAGATTCTTCCCCTTTTCAGATCTGAGAGTTTTGGATTAATTCAGCCTCAGATTAAGGCAGATACATTTAGCCATGTCTACATGTCTAAGCTCTCATTAGCTGACTCACCAGAGATCTGTCACTTCATACACCTGCCCACACACAAACATCTCCTGCCATCTCAGATGCTCCCAAGTATCTGCTGGTCTCCACAGAGGGTGGATCCTGCAAGATCTGTGTTGTAACCACAAACTTCTGGGAGTATCTTGGACACCACAAAAATGGCAACAGATACCTGAGCTCAGGCACCTGAGTGGAGCTTTCAGTCCACAGAGCTGAGGAAGCTGAGTCATTCACTTTGCTCTGAAAGAGACACCTACTTGCCTTTCAGCCTAAGAGCCCCAGGGACTACTGGGGCTGTTCTGACAAAATTTCCAGTGACTACATGTGCCCACATAAGTAATATTTAGGTATCTTATTCTTGAATTTGTTACCACACACTATTGCATTGCAAAGTTGCCTCATAAATCTTTTGAAATGAAAGCACTTATTTCTTCCAGTCAGTGGCAGTTATTTCTGTACTTGGCACTCCAGCAATAGATTCATCCCAATCTCCTAACAAATGAAGCTTTCAGCCCCTGGACCACAGATGTTACAGGTAAAAGAGATCACTACATTTTGAGTTATTATTGCAGAGTTACTCTGCAGAGAGAGACAAAAATTCCTTCCATAAATCTATTCACTGCCTACCTAGCTGAACTGTAGGAGAAGGTCTTTAGAGCTGTTTGAGTCAGACAATTCATTAGGAAGCTTTGAAGGTATGAGCATTATCTGGTGTTCACAAGAGGAGAAGGAAACAAAGGAGTAACACGTGCTGCATTGTTCTGACAGATTGCTGTTGTGATTCCAACTAATTGAGAGCATTAAAGAAAGCTGCTTCTTCACACAGAGCTTTTATTTCTGTCCATATGTCAGCAGACTCAGTTAAATGGCCCCATATCAGATAAATTCTAAAAAAATTCCCTGTAGCTAAAAAGATTAAACCCAGGAAATTTTGTAGTTCAGGAAATTAAAAATAAAATCTTAGGGCACAGTCAGTTCTACAGAAATTTGCAATAGCCGGAAGAAGAAGGTAGTGTCTAGTACATGAGGTCTTTGAAACAAGTTACTTCACTTGTGTGCCTGAGCTGTCTTCTGTCAGAAATGAAGTCAGTGAGAGCTACTACCTCTGCAAAGCTTTCTGGTATCACAGATTCATATCAGAGTGTTCCCATGAACACTCACAGAGCTGGCCCAGAGGCTACTCCTGGCTTCCTGCACATGTTCCCTGTGTATTTGTATGTGCACATGGGTCTTGTCAGGCTTATGACCAGGAAATGGCACATTACACAATAATATGACACTATAATAGAGAGTGATGGGAATTCACAGGACCTGATGGTGATCAGCTCTTTAAAAGTCATGAAAGGATCAGAAATGGATTCTTATACTTGTTTTTTCTTACCTGATCAAGAATCCTCCCCATTCTTTCAAACAGAACTTTCAAGAAGTGTCCTTCAAAGAATGACGCTTCCAAATTGCACTTTTCCAAAGATCTGGGAGATCCAGGCCACTCCCACCGTAAGCAAATGACACAATAATCCCGGAACTACAAAAAAGTAGTGAGAAGAACACACTTCAATTCCCATGGAAATAATTTCATTTCCTTTGACAGTCCATACACCTTAAAACCATAATCTGTAGCTAAATGATAAATCTAAGCCCTAAAAGATCAGTCATTCTAAAGTAAACACTATCAGTAAAACCACTGTCAGCAGGGACGTCATCTTCCTGGGGATATTCCTGCTACTAGAGTAGTTTGAGAAGCACTGAGTGGAGAACAGAGCTCCCAAAAAGCAGCTGGGACCAAAACACAAAGCAACACCAACAATACACAACCTAATCAGGGCTCTTTTGAAGAAGGAATTGCATTCTTAACCATCTTCTTGAGGGTAGATTTCCACACTTCTACTGCATTACATGTAGCTGATCTTGCTATTGAAACCATTCTGCTCCCTAATTCCCAGGACAAGAAAGGCACCTGTACATGCAGAACATACAAACTAAAAGTATTTCAGGGCTTCCTCTTCCCTCTCTTTGTTTCCTAACACTCCTGGCAGTCTTTCTCTACCTTGCCCCATATTTGCTTTGTGCTGCCTGATGCCTCACTTGCAAGGAATTACACCTTGCAAGGTGCACAAGTTGAAACAGTGAAAATAAAGAACACAGGAAGAAACGGAAGCAAAAGAATCAGAAAACACTCAAAAATTCTGCATTGATTGTAGCTTACCTACTACTGCAGGCTTCCAGGAATAGCAATAAGGAAGCAGAACAGCTATTTGGATGTAATAACAGCAACAGGCAGGGCTACTCTTAGGGGGGAAATATTTTAACAGCAGCCATATCATCGTCAGGAAGTGACAGAAACCAATTCTGCTCTCTAATAATTCCCAGTACACTCTTTTTCCCAAGACATGAATGAAAGACGAAGATGATAAGTGGTTTCTGGCATCCAAGAATACAACATAGGGGCATTTTACATCAACCTGTGTTTCCTTATTCTCTACTTTCTATTCCCTTTCTTTTCAGGAGAGACTACAGATGAAGGAATATAAATCCAGAAATCCACATGTCCTATCTTTAGCAGCTGATAACATAATTCCAAGGTTATGGAATTTTTGAATTACCTACTAAATATAGCTCTCAGTTACTCTGCTCCTTTGCATAAATTTTTCTATTTGAGAAGATTCATAAGGTTTCAATAAGAAAGCTGCAAACACTGACTCTCCTCTGACCAAGGAAACTATGTTTGTAAAAGCAAAACTTGCATTTATTTCTAGACAGTAAATGACAAAGCTTTCCCTGCCTACCCCACCTCCCAACTTCAAACCTGAATGCCTTAGGCTGTGCCTTCCCCGAGATGAGCCTTTATTTGCAAAGTCCCAGATTGCATAACTCCTATGCAGCATTTTAATTTCTCTTTAGTTCTTTCAAACAGCTTGGCAGGCAATTCTCCAAGAGAATGCAGATAAATGCAGAAGCAAATTAAGAATCTATCTGCAGTTCAGGTTTTCTCTTGCTGTATTTGTTATATGAATATTAATGCATTTAATGTCATCCATTATTCCCACTAGTGCAATACAAGGTGAATTCATCATCAAAAGATCTCCAAAGGTAAGTTTTCATTAAAAATGAAAATTGAATTTTCCCATCTTCTATTACCAAAAGATGCATTTAATAGTACTATTTACAGAACCATTTGTATATTCTCACCAGCATTTCAAATTCTCAAGGAGTAAGGAAGAGTTCACTGACTTACTTGTCTGTGGGCATCTCTGAGGTAAGTATCATAACCTGTACCCTCCACATGGTATGATGACTTTGCTTCATCAGGTACAAGACAGAGAAAACTGAAGAAAAAAAAAGTACATTAATGACTATATTCCACAGAGCACCAGATCAATACCTTTTCATCATCTGCAGCAGTGTACACACAATGCTGAACTGTCTGGCCAATTAATCCACACACTCTACCATAACTTTATGTGAAGAACAGAGAACACAGCATCTATTTAAGCCTACCTATTCCAACTGCTATAGGTCATAACAAGGTATATACTTGAGAAGTTTTGTATCTGGCATGAGAGGTAAAGTCATCAGTGCAAGCATTTTCTGAGACTCAGGAGACAGAATGGAGATTAAAGGGAATATTCATAAATAGGTCAAGTATTTGCTAAAGGTCAGATTCTATCTTACTAGAGCTAAACCAAAGTATACTTGGGAATAAATGAACCAAAAGAGAAGAAGAATTACAGTTAAAATTCTTCTTGAACTACTTCATAGGTAGTTTAATTTACCAGTTTGGTGTAGCAAAAAATGATCATCTAAGACATATCAGAAGAGAAGAAGAATTACAGTTAAAATTCTTCTTGAACTACTTCATAGGTAGTTTAATTTACCAGTTTGGTGTGGCAAAAAAATGAACATTTAAGACACATCAAGAGTATTTGCATATAAATGTCCCTGTTATAATTGCCTTTACCAGGTGTATAGTCAAATACTCTGTCCTTATTACTTCATCAAAAAAATGAACATTTAAGACACATCAAGAGTATTTGCATATAAATGTCCCTGTTATAAGTATATTTGCCTTTACCAGGTGTGTAGTCAAATACTCTGTCCTTATTACTTCACCAATGTCTGATGTAAAATGCATCAGGAAATCTGAATAATATTACTAACATTAAAAAAAAATTAAACCCATTGACATTTTGGGAGAGAAAATAAAACCCAGTCTTTGGACCCTGATTCCAAATTTCAGCCTTCATTATACCCCAAGAACTGCTGGACAGTCCTGTAGAATTTATATGCAGAAACATGTAGTAGGTGACTTGTCATGTGGAGTTCATCTTTATCTCAAAAAATACAAATTTGCAGGACACAGCAAATCAGAAAACATTTCTATTCCCTGATGCAGGTTACACGAGGTGAATTTAGGAGAGTATTCTTTGTGTCTTTGCTCCAAACCATGTCCACCATAAACTATAAATAGCAATACTGGGGAACAGAGGGCAAGAAGTGATGAAGTCACTGTGTCCTGGCTGTCCCTGGGCTGTTTGCTTCCTTTGGCTAACACCTTTGATTATTTCTGGGCAGGCAGATAGGTCAGCACTGACACACCAGTGCTGCTCTGCTACCAAGTATTGACAGAGCAAACAGCCCTTGTCCTAATATTAGTTCCTAAGAGAATTACCATCCCTAAGTTGCTTAGAGCAGAGCTTGTCCTCTTTGTGAATCCAATTTGCAGTGAGTCTGTCAGGCACTGAGGTATGCCACAGGTGACACAGGTGCCCTCTGACTTTCAGGGAACAGAAGGTTATCTCTAGCATGGCAATTATTTCCTTTTATCTATGTATTGATGGAACTTTGAAGTTCTAAGAAAGTTTGAGGGGTTTTTTTCCCCTGAAAGGTTTATGGCAAGACTCCCCAGACTTGTCCAGAAATGTCAAGTCCTGTAACAGCATTTCAAGTACAGCAAATATTTCTGCAAAAAGCAACTTTTATAACTGTGAATTCTGAGTATTCAACCATTAGCTGCAAAGTTCTTCTATTTTTTCTCATTTATGTTGAATTAATGCAAGCTCTAATCTTTTAGAAGTAGCTTTCTGATAAAATGCCACAATTTCCTTCTGTGGAGTCATTTTCCCAGCTGGCACAGAATAACATCCATTACAGAGTACACATTTAATTTGCACAGTGTGTGCAGACACCCACACATTCAGACATTTCCTCAAGTCTTTGTTTCAACTCACCTATTTACAATTTTATGAACTTCAGTCTTCCCATCATTTTTTGGATGTTCTGGACTGACAGGTGGAGAAGTACTGAGCCACTCCTGAGCTGACAATGTGTTATCTGGAGACAGATCAGTAAATAATGGATCTTCCTCCAGATCTCTGTGAAATTACATCAGACAAAAACATAATCATCCACAGAATGTTATGGAAAGCAGGAAAATCTCTAGGTCACAAGGCAGGCTGTTTTTCCTTTCTGAAAAATGAGGATGTTTTCCAGAATATAATATCCACAATGTATTACATAATTAATATGCAGAAATACCAACCTTTGCAAATACCCAACAAAGTGAACAACAGATGAGACATTTTTGACTTGGACAAAATTACTGCATCAAGTCACTTAAAACTTCTTAGCCACATTTTTCACATGAGAGAGTTTTACTCCAGGACACATTTAAATTATTCTAGATTACTAAAATAGGTTTGTGTGGCCAGTCCTTACCTCTCCTTCACTAAAACACTGAGTTATAAGAGTTACCTAGCAAATACATTTTATGTAGTTCCTCAGTATTGCATTTATTTATTTTATGTAGCAGAAATGTTCTTCCATCAAAAATTACTAGGAACATAAATGTAAGCAGAACACTGAAGTTATTGACTGCAAGAACATTCTCACTGATTGCAATAAAATATGCATAGATTTAAACTTGGTAGATGCATAAATAAATTGAGACACGAAGACCTCTGAGTGTCTATTGTTCTGTAAAGAGGCTTGTGGTAATTTTAGATTTTCTGTTCCTGTTCTAAGAGTTTCCATAAGCTGCTGATGTAGGAATTTCTGCATCAGTTTACGGATATGGATTAATACATAGAGCACTCAAGTGCTCTCCAGGCTCACTTTTCTTTCAATTACTGGAAAAAAACCCCATTTTGTTCTAAAAATAAGGATCCAAGTTACTTGTTGTGAAAACTTCTCTTAAAAATGAAACTTACACTGCTCCAGCAATCTGTCCATTCTCTACCACATCTTTATCTTCTTGACAGGGAGGCTTGTATTCCATGTAGTTTCTTTCTTCCAAATTTCTCAGAACCAAATTATAAAGAATGTGCTCATTGGGTTTTTGCAAAAGGTGCTCAAACATTCGTAAAGTCATTATGCTGATCTGCAACAGAAAGAGTAAAAACTCAATAAACTGATGCACCGCTGCCCTGTGCTTTTTGCCTTTTATCTGCTTTGTCCATCTTAGAACACTGCAATCACTTACTGACATTATGGAAGGAAAAAAATTATGGAAATGATGATGCTACATGTGGTATAAACATGGATGAAGACTTCACATACATTTGAAAATCACTATGGGAATGCTTTCTTTTTTTCCTGTAAAATAACCTGTTCTGAAATCTGTCAAAATAACAATACAAAGAACATACAGAGAACTCAGAATTTAGCTTTCTGTTCTACAGTTGGAGTCATGCTGGAATATGATTATCATTATGCAAATGAGACCCACAACAGGACCTAAAGTTAGTAATAAATACCCAGAAAAAAAAAGAAAGTAATACTGGGATATTGTGACTAGATCTATAGGCTAAGATTTTTACATGGAGATGTTATGTAGGCTTTTAAAGGAACACAAACTTTAAGCAATACAAAGACAATTTTTCAAGACTGCTTGAGAGTGCTTAGTGCTTGCAAAGATAATTGACTTACAGAGATAACTCATTCTGACAGGGTGAGAAGGCAGACATACTGAAAAAGTGGGTAAGAGAATACAAAGATTTGTATTTCAGGCAACCCTAGTTTCCATTTGAAAAAGTAGAGGGCTGAGGTTGTTTCATGGAAAAAATGAAGCAAGCAGCTTCTGAGGAGAGATTTTACTGAATTAAATTGTTTTAATGATGCTTAGTGTATGCAAAGAGCTTAAAGTTATCACATCATCTTTTAATTGGCATTGCATATATCCTCCAACCACACTTAGTTCATATAAACTCCAAGTTTTTATCTATATCTTATATGATAATAAGACAGAATTGACACAGCATGGAAAACAACAGCAACAAATTAAAATGCAATTACAAAACGTCAGTTCACTCTATCTTCCAGACAAGCAAGTCTAACTGGATAGTGGGCACACAAATTCACCAAAAAATCTAGGGGGAAAAAAAAAAAAAAAAGAAATATTGCTAGGTGGAGAAAACAGCTTGACTTCATTTTCTAAAGGGAATTTGTAGGGCCAGGACCCAGAATTCCCTTTCTTGGGAAAAAATGTTACTGGACATAAATGTGAGAACTCCTCACAATGGTGTGTTTACAGCATCTCCACACTCCAGAACTGTCCAGCAGACATCCTGTGTCAGACCAGCCCTCACCTCATCAGAAATGTGATCACAGTGCTCGATCAGCCTGTGCCGCAATGGATGCCTGTTGATGTCTGTCAGGGTTTCTGGCTCCCTGTGCTCTCCAAGGATAAAATACACCAGCTCCTGCAGCAGGACATCCGAAGTCACCTGACGAACAATGCGGTGCAACAGTGCAGTTGACGTGAGGATTCCAATCTCTGAACTGAATGAAACATTTTCATATCAGATATGGAGAGGATTTCCACTCCCTAAAAATTAGCTTGACTCAGATTCTGTTCTGCTGTGTCTTGTAGGATGCTACTCACGTTTGCATCAGCTGAGGTTCCATAACATCAATGAAGAATCGTTCCCTCACAGCTTTTGCCATAGCAACAGCAGTCGTCTGAAACAAAAGTACAAAATGGCGTGTCTCAAACTCAGAAGCTAGGAAACAACTGGAACTACTTATTTTCTGAATATATTTGTATCATCTGAACACATTTCAAACCTTTTGTGCTTCTTTGATGAGTTGATCACAGTAGTCAAACCAAGAAAGAAATGAAATCAATGCTCTTTTCCCTGGAAAAGCAGATGCATCTTCTTTGTGGCTGTAGGAATCCAAACTAGAGCATAGAGAGAAAAAATATTTATTTAGTCTACAAATAGTTGAACAATCTTGGACTCCATTCTTATTGAACCTAACAGAATAATTAACAAACTACTTGTAATGAAGGGAACATCAAAAAAGCTTTTCTGCTGGACTCTATGGATCTGGCAGTGCCACCACAACACAAGTACTCAGTGCATGCTAAAGGAAACACAGAATGTACAGCACAGGTACTCTGGTTAAGTGCTTCTGGAGTCAGAAGGGAAAACTGATCACCAAGTCTGCTCTCCCAGAATACAGACTACAGAAAATGAATCAGTAACTCCTATAGTCACAGAACCATAAAATGAAGGCAATTGTTCTCCTCTACTCTGTAAGTGACCTCAGGCAAGTCAACCAAAACCACACAGTGTATACCTGAACTAGAGTGTATCTTTTGGATAGAAACATCTATCTCAATTTAAGGGCTGTAAGGAATAACAAATACACCACTTTCTTTGGTAAAAAACTCCACTGATTATTTATCCCACAATTTAAAGTTGCGTTTTTCAAACTCCAACCACCAGAAATTTTGCTAGGCATTTTGAAAATACCTTCTTTTGTCTCAGTACTAACAGATCAGGAGCAATTCATAATAATGAGGGCAGAGTGGGGAAGATAAATGTTTTAAGAATCTAAATTACAAACAATTAGGATAACAGGCATGTATCTTTTGCTTCATGCTGATGACTTATGCAATTCTTTCCTTCTTCTTTTTTCTGCAAAAATTTTGCAACAACAGTCTGTTAACAAATAGACCCTTCCTGCCCCTCAGAGCAGCTTACAATGCCCACTGTGTACAGTGAGAAGTTTATGCTTCCTAAATCCTTGATATCTGTTTAAGAATATTAATCCACACCTGATATTACAGTGACATCACTAGAAACTGCTGATGTAAGCCAGTGGAAAAAGTTGCCCCCTGAGGAATCTCTGCCAGGACTGGCAGCAGACCTGGCCCCATGTCAGAAATCACAGGTACTCTGGACACCCAAAGTGCACCACTGTGCTACAGCTCTATCTCAGCTGGGCCCTTGAGGCTTCAGCCTGTGTGTGGGGGGGAATATTTTATACATATTATCTACCTATCAAATTAGTTTCAGGGAAAGGTGTAAAGTCACTTTGAGTATTAAATACAAAAATAAAATTCTTACCCCCAGTTAATTGCCTCCACTGTTTCAATGTCTAAGGGATCCAGTGACTGAGGCAAGGCTTTGTAGAGGGTGGCCAGCCTGTCTGTCAACAATTCACATAAACAAGTGCTTTGAGTCAGGCACTTGGCAGCTGCTGGTTCTGGCAAACTCACCAAAAGCATGAGACCTTCACAGGCCTTCACTGCTATCCGGCCGTCCTGGCAGAAGGGCATGGAAGAATTAATCAGAGGGTGAATGAAGGCCACTGGAAATCAAGAAGCACACACTTTCCAAATAAAACCTCTCCACACCCCCACAGTGACTGAATACATGTATTTTTGTTGTGTTCTCAGTCTACTGAGTCTACTTCACTAGTAATTCACTAGTAATTCACTCTAGTGAATTTGGATGCTACAAAATAAAGATTCTCACGTGATTTTGTGTGAAATACAAGAATGCCAGCTGCAGCCTTCCAGCTGACAGAACTAGAGCTGTAGGTCAGCTTGAGACCAAGATACCAAATCCCGTAAACTACTCAGGTAACAACAATGAGGTACAGTGGTAGACTTGGTTTTCAGCTCTCAGCACTACTGCAGCAATCACAGGCTTACCCAAACCTCTTCTAAATTTTCTGAAAGAATCTAAGTCTGAATTTGAGGACTGAGCTGGGTAAAACATAAAAAAGGCTTTTTTAAAAGAAAACACACTCCTAGAGATAGCTCAGTGGCATTACAAAGAGAGTGGGTTTGGTTAAGTCAGAACAATTCAAAGTAGTTTTAAAAACACTCTCTTGTGATATATTTAACCTTCTGATTATCCTGTGCAGTTTTTCTGTGAAACATACAGCATCCTATACAAGTTTCTTAAAAAACTCACTTATATTACCATCAACAAGCTTAGTATTAATTTTCTGGAATGGCATTTTTACTTTAATATGAATTTACAAAGAAAATTACCAATTTACACAAAGTGCCTGCAAAACCTACCACTTTTAATAGCTAAAATACAGTGTGTTTATTCACTCCCTCTGCCCACTTCACAAAGCATCCAACTATTTCATCTTATCACACAGAGTGGAAAAAACCCCAAAAACCAAATAAAAAAAAACAACTCACAGGACTTTTAGTGAGGTTTAGTAGAGAATTCACTAAATTATAGTCTTGATTTGGACCAGCAGTGGAGGACTCAGGTGACGATGTGACATTGAGTTCATCCAGACTGAAAGAGAGCTCCTCTGCCTGTTGTGGGAGCTCATCCTCCTTCTCCATGTGCTCGGCTCCGGCAGCACCAGGTGTCTCCTCAGGCTGCCCAGGCTGCCCCGTGTCTGCTGCCACGGAATCTTGGTCTTTTATCATGTCTTCTGTGATTACACTTGCTGATCCTTGGAGAGCCATTGCTTTTAACTTGCTCTGCAAAGCATTTTTTGGAATTACATAGCTGAAATTACTGTTCATCCTGAAGCAGGAGTTTACTAAAAGCAATTTTTTTAACATCAACATTTGAAGTAGTCAAGGCTGGATACAGTAACCATGTAAAATGTACAGGGCTGTGGGAGTGTGGGTGTTTTATAAACCTAGGACACTTTTAAATCTGCTTAAATTTCTCTTAAGCCCTACACATTTTGCTTCAAGGCTGAATATGCCATTTACAAAAGGATGGCAGCTATTTCTTTCTCTACCTAAGGCACATATTCACTTGCACACAATTTGGTAGAGGTTTTTAATTTATCTTATGTGTGGCACCTTCAGAACTTAGCACTTTTTATAAAACATTCCTTTCTGTGTCAAGGCCTCACATTCACCTAATGTCTGAAACACTATTTCTAGCTGGAATCACCCAAGTAAAATAATTCTAAATTTTTTGAGATTATACCTTCAACAGGAAAGGGAAAGAAACACCTTTTCTGACAGCAGAGTACTCTCAAATTGTGTTTCTCAAGAAGAAAAAATTGAGTAGATTGAATGGACAAAGGAAAGAGAAGTTAGCACTGGGCACTGGATACACTAAAAGGTCACAGAGAACCTTCTTGGAAGCTCCAAATCATCCCTGCTTTGCCTGACAAAAGGCAACCCATCTGTCTTCCCATAAATCTGTCTCCAGCACATAAAAAGATATTTAAATTTGTGCTGTGTGATACCATGAAGAAACTCACAGAAAGGCAAGAATTCAGTGTTCTTCTGGCATAAGTGCAGGTGAGGAATACTTTATTGGAATCATAAATTAGAATGCAGCACAAGACATTTCTTTCAAGTGAGAACTGCAGTGAGATTATAAATCCAAACGGTTCCCTTCTCTATGATAACAGCAAAATTATTACAAATATATCTCAAGCATTAATAATTTAAAAGACTAACCATTTAGGGTTAATGGATTTTAGTACAGACAAACCAGCAGGGACTGAGGACATGACAGTGAGGCAGCAAACTGGAGAGCTGCTGTGAACACTTGCTCGAGGGCCGTGCATTCGGTGTGGGGAATTTGCACTCACAGAAATAATTCCCTGGAGAAGCAAACCAGTGGTAAAAGCAGCAGACTGCATGCTATAAAAATAAGGATGATCTTTGAATGCAGTAGAAAAATTACTGCTTCAATGTGCTTTGTTGGGTTTTTTTTTGTCAGTGCGAAAAGTGCAAGGCTGGCAAAGCAACAAAAAGGTGTCTGTCTGAACCAAGTCTGCCCATCACCAGAGCTTCTGCAGTCCTTCAGTATCAATATCCTCAATATCCTCATCAATACACAGAAATATCTGAATCACAACAGTGACCCTTCACATAAAGGTTGGAACAGCATTTCAATCCTGGATTTAACACTGTTGCTGGCACCACTCAAACTGCAGGCAGAGTTGTTAAAAGCAAAAGCCTTTTTTTCTTCAAAAACTGGGCAATATTCTGTAAAATACTTATTTCATCTTACAGCAGCTTATTAGTTCATGTCTGGATTCTTCTGCCATTTGAAAGGCCATTGTTTATTTAGCTAAAGCAGTGATGAGAGAACTAACATATACAAATGTATGAATGCCCCTAGAAATGTGTCCATAGCTCATTACTCTTACACTGGCAGGTGACACAAAGCAGTTTGTACATTGAATAACACACAGGCAGAATCTTTGTGTGTATTTAAGCTTCCTATTGTTTAATCATGCAATTCTGCAGCTCAGCTGCTCACCTGCCTCCTGCAAAGGTGCAAAACAGGATCCTCAATGACCTAATAGAAAAGGTTACATAAAACACATATTCAATGCTTTCTAAACCAAGTACTCAGAATTACTTGAATACATGAATTCAGCATTAACAAAGAGCAGATAATATAAAAACACCCTTTTGTATTTTTGTGATTTGTAAACATCAGTTTTAAAATCTGTGGTGGATGATGCCATGTCTAAATTCTGATAGATTTAAAAAGAGTTCTATGAAAACATCAAGTGATATCACAGCTGATGAGAATCTCTACTTAATTTGTGGTGAGAAATATAAAGGTGATAATTCATAGTACTGAAAGTAGAAGTGAACAGTAAAACTATTGTTCATTTTATAAAATGAAGGTAAAAAAACTATTTAGATGCTATATTAGAACTTTTTCAAGGTCGTAGGAACAGAAATTGAAGCAAAGAAAGTTAAGTGTCCCTTTGCCAGAAACAGTTGCAAGGAGTATCTCACTTAAAATGGGATAAGATGCAATGAGGCAAGTTTACCCTAAAATATAACTGAGGCAGAGGTGATAAATAAACATTACAATGAATATTCTTTCTCTCTGCACAAGAATTAGGAAAACTCAGTTTTTAAAAAAGGAATACATTAATACCATATAGGGATCCTAAAGTTTTAAAAAAGTAGAATGAAGTTCTTCAAGGTCTTATTTCCACAACAGACATGACTTGTCCAAATGATTCAAGGTCTTAGGAACAGAAATTGAAGCAGAGAGAGTTAAGTGTCCCTTTGCCAGAAACAGTTGCAAGGAGTATCTCATCTAAAATGGGATAAGATGCAATGAGGCAAGTTTACCCTAAAATATAACTGAGGCAGAGGTGATAAATAAACATTACAATGTATATTCTTTCTCTCTGCACAAGAGTTAGGAAAACTCAGTTTTAAAAAAAGGAATACATTAATACTAAAATAAAATTAGTATAGGGATCCTAAAGTTTAAAAAAAGTAGAATGAAGTTCTTCAAGTCCTTATTTCCACAACAGATGTAACTTGTCCAAGTGATACAGTTATGCCATGTAGGCTTATTGATTAAGCAATACAGGTGAAAGATTTCACCTATACTGATTAACCAATAATACACATATTTATGTAAATATAAAATACAAACCAGCTTTCTATCAACAAACTATCTGGCATGGAATCATACAAAGGAAGTGCATTTGAACACACTCAGTTTTTATGTTCACAAAATCCTGTATAAACTGATTGGAAACAGTCAAAGAAGGAAGCAAAACTAACAGATACAAACACTCTCTGGAGAGATCCATCTGCATTTCATCTTATAAGTGTTGGAGATTGGAGGTAGAAATGCCACACAGAATTCTGTAAATTTACCCTTTCATGCATTTGAAAGTGATCAAGTCACAACAGCACCCCTAAGAGGCCAAATGTGAACAACCAGAATATCCTATTCCAATGAAGCACAATTCTGCACTCCACATAACTGCTCTGGAAACAACCATTACAAGTTGTGAAGACAAATGCTTTAGGCTGCAACACCTAGAATAACACTGTGAAATAACAGGAGCTACAAGAAATGTTTGCCAGCTTGCCTGAACCCCACAGCCAGCATTTTGTGAAACTAGAGACCCCTTTAAAACTTGGAATCATTTGTTTCTCCATGTCTGTTTTTTAATATTGGAATCTTGCTATTTTGGGGAGGAACACTAATAAAGTGGGACAAAACACTTGTGGTTCTTATGACTGGGTTCTCAGGTTTGATTGCAAGGGCACTATTTAAGGGGCTTAAACCATACAACTTACACAAATAACACTAAAAGTAATCCTGGTTTAGAATTCTACCATATTTTGCATGTAATATATGCAGTAGTTTGCTTCTGAGTGCTTCTAATGTTTAAACATTAACTTTTCAACCTCATACCATTTCTGCTGCTTACACAACTACAGTGGATACAATGGCAATCAGCACAATACTTAATTGAGGTAAAAAGAAACTCAAGATTGATTCTTTACTACTGACATGGAAATGAAAATCACATACTTAATGAAAAATAACATCTTTTTGCAATTTAGCAGTCTCTGCTGTCACAGATCTTGTTTGTTTGTGGAAAGGTTGTAAAATAGTCCTGAAGGAATATTTTTCAGCTAAGTATTATGTACTTAATAGACACCGTGTCACCATAGGAAACAGCAAAGTGGGAGCAAAATGCTCCCACTAAATGGACTTTTATAAACCAATTTTTTTATGCTTCTTCTAAACAGGAACTGAAAGTCAGTCTAGAAACTGTTTATCCTCCCACTCTGATTTCATAATGCCACATGTTAAAGGAGGCAGTAAAGACACAGGCTGTCTTGCAGACAGAAGATGTGTTGTGTTGTAGATTGTGAGCTGGCACTGCAGCTCCAACATATGTGCCACTACCAAAATAAAGGCCCAATCCTGCAGAACACTCAGCAACTTGCAAGGTTTCAGTGTCCCCTGCAATGTGTCCCTTTGTCTTCGTTGGGATGACAAAAACAACACATGAAGGCCAAGGTCTCCCTCACACAGTGTTTTACACTGCAACTCATATCCCTACTCTAAAGGCACTTTCATTGCAAAGGAAAAGGACCTTGGGCAGGTGTACTTGTGAGCCCTGAATGAAATTCCCTTGAAAATCAGATGTATAAAGTCTCTGGGAGAAAAAACAACTTCTAATATCACATGATAAAAAGTAACAGATGGAATGAAAACTAAGCTATGAAGCATAACGTGACACCACCAGTTCTCCACTAGATTTTGTATATGACACAGTAAATACACCTGTAAAATTTTGAATTGATTTACTCACCTCAAGGAAGAAGTTGACCAGGTATGGATCCTGCTTCAGTTTTGCACATACTATACACAGAAACTGAATTTCTTCATTTTCTGTTGGTGTTGCCAGAACCTCACCACAGAGCCTGATTAATTTCTGTCACATAAAGTGAATAATTAAGACAGAAAGTTATTGCTTTTTCTAGGAATAACAGACTGAATTATTTTTCTATCTAAACACTACAATTACGTATGAGTACTGACTGGAACATTTGCTCTGGATTTAGACTGCAATGAACAAGTTTTCTTTAATATCTATGACTTGCATTGCAGTGGCAGTCCAAGATTCCAAACATCACCACATTAAAAAAACCCAAACTGATCTGGCTCCCAAGCAATTTCCTTAATTCACTTGACAATGGAAAAATGAAAGACAACATTAGCTACAGCAGAATAAAGGAAACTTATGCAAAAATACAGTTGACTTCAAAAGTACCTGCACTGGCCTATGCACATTTATGTGGGGAAGAAGAGGTTGCCTTATTCTTCCAAGAAGTTTTGTATAAAAAGCCAGAACTTGCTGTTTCATTCCTGGAGGACACTGGAACAAAAACAAAAATAGAAAAAATGTAGAGAAAAATACAGATGTAAATTTTTCACTTAGAATGGCTAATTAATCAGCAATAATTTAACTAAAAGTCATCATCTGTTAACATATTACTTTTACCAGTATTAACGGAGATCAATAAAAAATGTTGGATCACATTACTGTTTTCTCTTTCAAATTATTCATACTTTCAGTTAATTGCTCTAGGGCAAACTTCTACCAATCTTTCCAGAAAATATTCCGTATCATTATGGTGATAAGGGGAAATTAACTCGGAATTAATTTGCTACAGGTCAGATGTCTATTAAGGTACTGTGCCACAAAATCCAGCAATTCAGTGAATCAGTACATACAAATACAGAATGATAAACTATAAAAATCTTAATACCTACAGAAGGTTTCTTAAAGTCATGAGCAATTAACCTTAGCCAGCTAAAGTGTTTATAAATGCACAGATGATCCAGGACAAGAGAAAGCTGCTGCTTTCCCTGAGCAGAATATAAATCACAAATATGTGTGGAACATGCAGACCCTTGTTCTACTGTCCCTAATGCACCACACCACAAGAAAGGACCTTCTTATCTCCAGGAGATCTGATGGCTTGTGGGCCTTTATATACCTTTGTTCCTAGCTAAATTCCCCCAAACTAATTAGTTAATAACTAATTTATCAACCACGTTAATAAATGCTGTTAATTTTAACCCACATAATTTCCCTCATTTGCATGTCCAAATGCAGCTGAGGTGGCAACCTGCAGCCTAACCTGGCTCTCCTTTCTAAGTAACTATCTCTAGATTTTCAATCCCTAATCACTGCTAATTGTCAAGCAATTCTTTGAACAAAATGGCAAGATATGTACCATCAGGGCACATCCACAGTAATGTGGTAAGTCTAACTGACTGCTGTGAAAGGGAACTATTCATTTTGCACCAGATCTTTGCAACATCTTGCAAGCACTGAACTGGGTGTTTACTTCAGATGTATCAACTCACAAGTGGCAAAGTGTAAAGACAGGCTGTACAAGAATTGCCTGTACAGACATATTTTTATGAGTACAGAATGACTTCTCTCAACTCTTAGAAACACACTACTAATTACCCACTTCACATATGTCACAATTTCATCTTGGTTTCTTGACAACATTTAGAGATTACTGAACGAGCTGTGTTTCTGAGCAAGTATCTTTAATACAGCAGTGTTGTGGTTTTAAGCCCAGCTGGAGCAAGTATTTTAGCCTGACTGTAGGACAGCTGCTACAGTAACAGGTACTGCAGATCTCTGGCTCTGCCAGAGCAAGGAACATCTCAGGCTCAGACAGCCACTGTACTGTGTTACCCGCTCATGTAAAATCAATTAAAAACTCTTGACAATGTGTAAAATATTGAGAAAGAAACCCTGGAGAGCTCCATTTATCCTTGGAAGAGGATAAACCATGCCTCCCTAACTGCATCTGCACTGTGGTACAAAATGTTCTACCCCCAGGGCTGCCAAGCTCATTCACCCCATGATCCACCCAGCCCCACACATTTCAGCTCAGAAGTTCTGCCAAGACAGACAGCAACAAGGATGGACCAAGACCATGAAGGAAACTTCATGTGTGCTACAAAGCAGACATGAGGAACCAGACAATACTGCCAAGGTATGAAAGCTGGCTGGGGATCAACTCAAATTAATGTCTTCTGATAGCAAAGTCTTTCTGGGCAATAGCTGAACACACTCAGAAAAGCTAATCAAAAATCTGTATTTAACACAGCACTTTTCACCCAAGAATGCCCCAACATTTAACAAAGGGCAGAGAGGGATAATACTGTCATGTAGTAGCCAGAAAAACTCTAAACTGAAGAAAAATGTTTCTCCTACTTTTAGTTTCACCATCAGCATTACTAGAGTGGTGAGTCTCACCATTGCCAGCACCCCAGGGGCTGTCTCACCCTGATCACATCTGTAAAAGGCTGTTATTTGTAATATCCTGGTAATGTGGAAACGTATATTGGAATATTTGTAATATAAGCAAGCAGCTCTTTGCTAGAGTTCAGTGTCCCACACTACCACCTAGTGTAGGACTTCAGTCTCTATCACAACTAGGAGCTCACACAAGACTTGTAATATAAGCAAGCAGCTCTTTGCTAGAGTTCAGTGTCCCACACTACCACCTACTGTAGGACTTCAGTCACAACTAGGAGCTCACACAAGAGATAATCTGCTCTGCTGAGAGATACATACATCAGCTTTTCCTAGTGTGTAGAGTGTCTCCAAAATCTTGTGATGCAGCAAATATTCCATGCATGGTCCTGTTTCACCCGATTCCCTCTCATTTTCTTCTTGAACTAGAATATCCAACATCTGTTCCAGGTGAGAGGGAATGTTCGTATCAGTCACAGGAGCTTTGTCATCTAAATAAAAGAAATAGGAAATTAAGAATGATTTTAAAACTGCCCTCATTTCAATTCAGTTCCAAATGTAAGACTTATAAACATGACATCCACTTAAAGAATTTTATATAGAGCATGGGTTTTTAACATGTCTTAAAGAAAACTTTCAGAACTGTATCTGAATATGTACACTGGAATATCCATTGGGCAGATATCTGACCTTGTAATGGGGAAAAGGTGAAGTGCCAAAATTCAAAATATGCAATAATTACACGGTCAAAAAAGGAAAATTTCTACTGCCAGAGAGCAAGCCAAGGGAGAGAAATCTACAACTCTCAATCTTCTGTTTAGTATGCACGAGGTCTTAATAACTTCCTCTTTGACCCTTGATACATTATTCTCAAATCTGGCCTCTAAAATCAGCTTAATTTGCAGCTGATCAGTTCCTTTATAAACTAGATAACTAAATAAATGGCTTTTCTGCTGATAACAACAAAGAAAATTCAAACTCTATGCTGTTTATTCTCCAAAAGCTTTTAAATTTCTTTTTTGTAGTTTCTGCATTAAAATAGAATTCAAACTTATGAAGGAAAGGGTAAGATATTGATTTTATTATATTAAAGTCATGAAACTGCAGTGGATTTATGCCACTGGAAGTAGGAGCTAACATTCAGATATTGTAGAACATATCCACACATGGAAGATTTTCCTCTTTTATTTTTTTCAGCTGAATTCTACATGAACAACTATCCTAGGGAAATGGTTACTACTGTTTACGCAACAATCTAAAAATAACTTGTCACTTGCCTGCAACTGGCAACAAGATCACACAGGGAAACTGCCATGTCAGAGTGAGTTTGGTCTTTGCCACAAGCTCCAGTTAGCCTGGAGTGTTTTGCTTGAATTTCCTACACATAATTCTGCTCCTACTGCAGAGGACAGAAATACATCCACTGAGTGGAAACTTCTTTTTCAAAACACTTCTGAAACTCTGGGAGAGAGGTCAGCTTTTATTCTGCACCACGTCACTGCAGGTGTCAGTTTTCCCTGCCACCCTGTCATTTCCACCTTTGGAAACATCACATAGTGTTCCAAAAGATGGGTATTTGGAACCAAGGGTCACGCTGCAGTTTTACAAGTAAATATTGATATAAACAAGATCATCAGACACAAACACAGACTCAACAGCTCTTCCAGCAGAAGGTCAGAACTAATAGGCTTGAGGGAAGCATGGCAACATTCATTTTTAAAACATAACTGTTTCATAACTAGGTCCAAAATTAAAAATTTACAAGCTGCATAATTGTTGGGAAAAAACCCCAGACTCGGAAAGAGTTTTAAAAAAAGCAACTACAGCCATATTTCATCATAATATCTATTTTTAAGAACAGCAGTGTAACATCTGAGTAAGGTTTAATAAAACTTGTTGTCTGTGCTATCAAAATACACTGAGACAAGACATTAAAGCAAAAATAACTAATACTGAGCACACAGAATCCATCTCTGTCTGGTAAAATCTATGACCACAAAATTACTTTTGTTAAAATCTTGCAAAGAAAAAGAAAATCCCTGATGCAAAGCAATAAAAATGTTAACAGCAGGGACTGCATTTCTGCAGCTGTCTGTTTAGATTAAACAGAGTATGTGAAGGCAGAAACTGGGTCAGATGTAAAAAAGTGCAGTTCCCTACATGGTACTCAGGAAAGAAGACTTCAACCATTTTTCATGTCTACTTTTACACATGGAAGTACATTATATTTTTAATTACTGGTTATTGTTGGTATTTTGATTAAAGACATGATTCATTTAGTATTTCTTAATCTATACTTTTTAAAAACACTGAAATTGTGAATTCTAGTTTCCACAATAGAAAAACAAACCCAGAGGGCTTTTTTCTTTTACCTGAGGTCTCTATGTAGTAATGGGTGATTGCTTTCCAGTGGTAAACAAAATCTTCTTGTAATGGAAGGGAAGGTGCAAGCTATGGGGAAAAAAAACACAACAAAAACCAGTCAGAAATGGAATGAACATACTTGCCCAGAGATTAAATTCAATTTTATCTTATACTTGGAAATAAAGTGCTGCAGATAGTGCTACAACTGTTACTCTCTGCTCTTTTACCTTTAACAAGGACTACATTCATTATTCATGGCTGAGCCCCCTGCCACACTGACTGCTTGTAAACATCAGTAATAATCTCTGTGATGTCTCTATCACCAGACAATCTATTCGAAGCAACAAAAGCAATTGCTCCTACTGCACAGCAACACTAGAAATGTATGCTTGTATTTTTTAGACCACAATTTTGTCCCGTAGGAAAAAATCATGTTCTTTTGCTTCTGCTCTTGATGCCTTCTTGCTTTCCTGTACACTCTGTTCTCTGTCTGCTCCCTTAAAAATACCAAATAGTTGCTTCATCCAGTTTTTACCATGCCTTTTTTCCCATTATCCACAACTTATTTTAAAAAAATCTTTGTTCAGTTGTTAGGTTGGGTTTGTTTTTTGCAAATTTTTGGTTTGTTTTTTTAGGCCCACACGCAGAGCCTGATGGGTTGCTCCTTTTTTAAAAACAAATATGTTTCTTATTTCATTTCTTCAAGAAAGGAAGTTTCTTCTTTCCTGGAGGAGTTTGGGATGGCTGGCTGGGCGTGAGCAGCATCCAGGAATAACACAGTGCAAGAAGGAAATGCAGCCACCATCAGCAATGCTCCTTCCCACTGAGACGCAGGTGGCCTGTGGCCCATCACACCACAGGCAGCCTGTGAAAACAGGACCACAATCACTTCACCACTCTGCTCTCCAAAGTGAGAGCTGAGACAAGCACTGAATTTGTGCCCCTGAATGTTCTGAGCTGGTTAAAATCAGGAATCCTATAGGGAAAACCCCAACCATTCAATAGGTCACATGAGAATCTACTTTTATTGAGGCCTAATCCTACTTGCTTGAGGCTTTTTTTTTTGGGCCAAGTCCTCAAGTCATTCTTTTGCAGGCCATCCTGAAATAGGGGATTATCACTTGACAGGATGGCAGCGATGAGCCCTGAGGGCAAACAGAAAGAATCCCAAGTATAAATTGGTGTGTCTGTTTTGGAAGGGTAAGGAGCTGGACCATCCTGACAGGAGATGGAGTCCAGTCCTTCACAGAATCTCAGAGGGGCTGAAGCTGGAAGGGGAGTGGACACCATCCAGTTTAGTCCCCCTGCTACAGCACAGTCACCTAGAGCTGGCTGCTCAGGAGCATGTCCAGATGGCTTTTGAATATACCAAAGGATGGAGACTCCACAGCCTGTCCAGGAACCTGTGCCAGGGGTCAGTTAACCTCACAGAGAAAGGTTAACTGAAGGAAGTTTTCTCCCCAGGAGCTGCAGATACCACATTTGAGACTTATAACTCTGAACTCCTCTAGTGTTTCCCCACAGGGTCTAAAATATGCTGTGCTGTCTCAGTTCTTGGGCAAACAAGGGCTCAGGAGCACAGGGTTCATATACAGTCTAGTACAGGATAGGCTCATACGGTCTCTACTGGCTGGTGGGTTTGTTTGAAAAAGCCCTGGATGTTTTCCACATCAGTCTTTTCTTTGCCTTTAATTTAATGACACTTAAATTTATCTTGGTAAAGTTGTAAAGCCCAGTATATGACAAATATTCCATGCCAAGATAAGTGCAGTGCTAATTGCTAATGGCCCTTTGCACACAGGACTTTGGAAGGCAAGACTCTGGAAAAAGAGTGGTGCTTGGCAACTATCTCTGCCTCCATCCCGGGTGGAAATGTGCCTTTGGAAATTTCAACCAGGAAATCAAACTGACAGTGCTTATCCTCGCCCTGACAGGCTGTGCACTCACTGGGTTCCACGGCTAGGCACTCAGAGCAGCACATTAGCACAGCAGCTACCACCGAGTATCTGAACACTCCACACTGCGCAAAACCAGTTTATTTGACTGTGACATTTACTAGGTTATTGACATTCAGAAGAATAACCAAACAAACTGAAGACTGAGCATATGATATTGTGTATCATGCTCTGTATGTCACGCTAGCTGCACTAGATGTGTATTTCAAGCAATGTAATTATCATTTCTGGAAAAAAAAAGCTGTATCAAAACCTCAACGCCAGCTGATGAATAACCCAGGGACAACTTTTGAGGAATACAGGCCTCCCAGACCACTCTATTTCCAACGTAACACATGATGGATAACATTAAAGATTTATCCTTGGCTGATGTGATTTTCCTCTCCACTTCTTCTCGTCTCATCTGCCTCAAGATGAATTTAGTGCCTCTGAGCAGTGCCAGGAAAAGGATTTCACTTCTCAGCACTGTCAATAATTTATCCACCATGGGAGAGAACTGTGGATAGAGACATTCCCCCTCTCAACAACTGCCTCTAGGGACTCTTCTCAGAGGTGAAAAAATAATTCAGGGACAGGTCCTGCCCTTTCAAATTAAAATACCCAGTGATTTCAGAGTCTTCTCTGACCAGGACTGCAAGCCAGACATAGCAGAGATAACATAAGCATGTGTGTGCACCTGGGCAGGGCAGAGGGCAGCCTATTGGGCATCAGCATTGCCACTGACTGGAGATGTAACCCCAACAAATTATTTTAAGGTAGGTGTTTACTGACCAAAAAAACCAACAAAAACCCACAAGAAAACAAGCAAACAAACAAACAAAAATAAAGGGAAAAAAAAACCAAAAAACAAACCAAGCAATCTTCTTAACTTATTTATTCAGACAAAGCAAGGTAAAGACCAAGACCAAGATATCAGCTTATATGTATACAAAGCCAAGCACTGGAAAGAATTAGGACCCTATAGCACTTGGCTGACATCCTTTAACCCTGGTAGGACAGGTAGTACTAGTATGAGGTTATAGTTCCTATTTTAGGATGAATTATTAGCTATCAGCTGAGATGGAATACATGTTACAGCTGCCACCCTGTATAACCACTCTACTGTCTAAGTGCTTGCATGGAGATTCTGAAGCAAAGCAGAATTCCTTGTGAAGGCCATTAATTCCTGCTACTTGTCTAATTTGAAGGAGTTACCTTAAAAATGCAGTTATTTCTCCCCATTAAATCAGCTGGCTAGGGCATGGTGCTAATAACACCAAGGCTGAGGGTTTGATCCCTGTATAGGCCATTAATTAAAGAACTGGACTTGACGGTCCCTGTGGGTCCCTTCCAACACAGAGTACTCTGTGACTCTGGAATTAATCCTGATGTAATTAAATATGTTCTTAGTGATTCCTAATCTCAAAGTGAAGCTCTCTTCCTCCGGGGAAAAAACCCCATGATCCTCAAGCCTGCAGTGTAGGTGTTGGCATACAAAATAGCTAAAATTCACTGAACCCCACTGAACTGCAGCCCACTGGAGCAGCCATTGATTAGCAAGATGTTCCATCTGGTGCCCAGCTCCAGACACTGGGCTTCCTGGGAGTGAGCTGAACTTAACACATGCTGCCTCATCCTTCTGGTGACAATATGTAACAAATAATCAAAGCCCACTCCCTTTCAGGAAAAGAGCTGTTCTCAGGAGAGCTACAGATCTTTGACCAGATGTACAGTCTGCTCAAGACAAAACCTGTCCAAAATACATTTCCATGTTGTTTTCCAAAGCATACAGAATTCATGTTTAGGCAGGAAAAAAAATAACATAAAGAGTGAAGAAACACATATACTGCAGTATTTAACAGCAAATCTTTTTTTGTGCATGTAAAAATCATTGTCATATTTTTCATGTATGTTTTTCAGAAGCGCAATTCAATACTGGAAAGGATGGAAACATCAGAAGCTGGTGATATGCCTCAATAACTTTAGGGCAAATTCACAAAGGAAAGAACATTGTATAAAAAAATTACAGGTACTGTCTGGTCAGATGCCAGAGTAAAAAAAATAGAGAGCAGAAAACTGGGTCAAAGAGAAAGGAAAGGGAAGTGCATGCACACTGCCCTGACTGACACAGTCACTTGATGTTTTTCTTCAGTCTTACTACTGTACCAATGTGAATGGTCTGAGAGAATGTGAAAAAGGAATAATGCTTGAAGGTTTACTTGATCTTCAGTTGGAGAATGCACAGAGTTTATAATGGCCACTGCTCTCACACATAAAATTAACGCTGCACATGCTTGCAAGTCACGCATTCAATTTTGCAATGTAATTTGCTAATACCAGCACAACATTAAAACAACAAGTAATGTAAGGTCATTACATCAAATAAAGTGGGTTCAAGAGGAATAAGTTCTGTTCTAATCAGTTATGCAGGTCATGATTTTGGAGCACTGCCTGTACCAAGTGACTCAGTTTCTTTCAAAGCTGAGTTTGCTTCAAAATATAAACAGAAGCTACTTGAAAGTACGGTAATGTACCAGTGTCAGAGACACAGTGGGATAACAGGCTGGGAGAGAGGGGGTCTCAAGAATCTGCAGCACACACCAAATCTTCATTCATTCCATTGCATGGTACTAACATTCCTGTTTGAAAGCAAATTGCAAAATTCAAGCCAACCAAAATTACATTTTTCGTGCAAGGTACACAGCTCAAAAACATCCTTTTGAACTGACTATCAAGGTGAAACACCCAAAAACCCAAATCAAACACAAACGAAAGTCCTTTGAACACTGAGTGGCCACTTCACAGACAAGCTATTTTGTCTAGGGAAACATGAGTGAAAAGCACAAGATAAGAGCAAAATAAGTCTAACTTGCTGCTTTGTTATTGTACAACACATTGTGTTGCTGCTGACAATGTAGTGCTCATGGATAGCCCTTCGGGATGAAAGGATATCAGAAATGCATAGCAAAGAGAAAACATCTTGAGGACAAGCCATATATAAACTGTCACAGATTTAATAATATGAACCCCACGAAGCAACAGCATTTCTATTCTGCCCTGAAGTAACAGAACAGAGACAGCAGTCCTCTCCACCATTCTCACTAACACATCCGACTCAATTTAAGGATTCTCTGTTGGCAGGGTAACACAGTGGTGCTTGCTCATCTGAATACTGCAGAGAAATCTAAAAAGCAAAAAGTATCTAAAATATTGGCAGGATTGACATTAGGTAAGAGATGAGAAAAAACCCCAGAATTCAATGGTAATGAAAATCAGGAATATGGTTTCAAACACTTGGGCAATTTAGTCAGAAAAGACTGAAAGTTTTGATTTATTCAAGGAAAATCATAGGATCATAGACAGGTTTGGGTTGGAAGAGATCTTAAAAGACCACCTAGTTCCAACCCCACTGCCATGGGCAGGACATTTTCTACTAGGCCATGTTGTTTTAAGCCCCATCCAGGCTAGTCTTGAACACCACCACAACCTCTCCGAGAAAAAACCTTGGTAAGAAAACACCTTAGTAGAGAGCAACTGATCCCTTATGCTTGCCTCAAGCACAGCCCTGTCACAAGGGCAGTCAGTCCAAGAGTGACACACCGACAACAAGTAAAAGGCAAATACTGCCATGTCTATCAGACTGTCAACCTTTGGAGCCCCTGTCAGAGGTCAGAGTGTGGCACACTGAGGGTAAGATAACAACGACTATCTAAGAGCATGGGAACCATTGCTGTTCAAATGCACTCTCTGGAGTCTGCAGGCCGGAGGGCCCTGAGGCAGGGCAGGAGCACTACAGAACTGATGTGCAGGAGAAAGGACAGGGCAGAAGGACTATCCAGACCTTTCTGGTTTAAAGAAGTCCCACCCGTGAAAGCTAAACCCTGGCTCTTCACGTGTATTTTAGTGTCCAGCTCAGCTGAAAATTGTACAGTTGCAACTCTACCTACTCTGGGGTAGGCACCCAAAACTATGGAGAACTGATAGCTTAGTTACTAATTCTGTTGCTGATAAGAAACAGAAGTTCTGTTAAGAATCCAACTGAGGCTGCCCATGTTATACTTGCTCCCTAGCAAAAACAGCAAGCAAAAATGATGTTCCAAATTCTCTTGGGTCTGGAAACAGGCAGCATCAAAGTGGACTGAGGTAATACTTAGTATTTACAACACTTGTCACTTCCCCACAGCAAAGCTAAGCAGACCACATCTTATTACTACAGGGAGAATGAAACAAAGCCACATACAGCCACTCAAGTGCTTAAACATTTATATTTCTTAGTTCTGTCTTTGTATTAGTGGGTCAAACTTATAAAGAAACATTCTTAGTATCTTCCTGCTTTTGGAATTCCACGTTTCATTCTTAGTATTTGTGACAATCCTGTAAATGCAATAGTGCAGTATTTACCAGGAGATCCACCACGGTGGTGGTAGCAGGATGAGGCAATTCTAAAAGGGACACCAGAGTTGAGAAAGGACAAACAGTATGTTGTTGGATAGCACTTACTTGCAAAATTATGGTATCAATATATTTCTGTATTTTCATTTGGATTTTCTAATCAAAAAAGTGTGTCTAGTCCCTACTTTTTTCCTGTTCCATTCAGCACATTTGTTTTTCCTACTTTTTACTGGATCTCAACTAAATGCAGTTCTTTATATGTTTTCTTTCTTTTTTTTTGTTCTCACATTGATAATGTAAACACTCTTCTAATAATAACTTCTATTACATCTCTCAAATTGGTAGGCCTGAAAGAATATCTTCTCCTCCATTCCTGCACCTCTCAGTCACCCACTTTTATTTCTGTTATTCAAAATGTGGCACAGCTCACCACAACAAACTTTCTTTAGTCAGGCAGGCACTAATTTCTGTTTCCTCTCCAATGAAAGCGCTGTCTATTGAAGGCATTCACATGTGGTCTGACTGTTTTCAAGTAAAACATTTCATCATTATTTAAAACATTTCCTTCCAAATGCCACTACACCATTAAAAAAGCAAAATAAGAGCCTGTAATTAATGAATACATGTTTAACTTTAAAACCTGAATACTCCTGCAGAACTACAGGCTCATATAAAGACAGGCATATGCTCAAGTGCAGCATCGAAGCATACATTAAGGTACAAAGGCTGCTTCTCAGATGAGGCAGGATTTGGCATGCAGGCTCTTATTTCAATTATTTGGATTTGGCCTGCAAGCTGTTTTTTCAACCATTTGAGCATTTTTTTCTTCAACACTTTCCACCTTCCCTTGAGTATTTCCCTGCCGATTTTTATCACCTCTTCACAGTCTCCTGGGTGTGTGGGTTTACTGGGAGAGGCGCTGAAAGGCAGGGAATTACTACCAAGACCCCACCTCACTGAAAGGCAAAAATGAACGGTGTGGGCAGGCAGTGCAATGGCAGCTCGGGCACAGGCCCCGCTGCCTCTGCCAGTCCCGTCAGGGAGCCAGGCTGCACACACAGCCCCGTGTCCCCCGGCAAACCTGACCCCACGCACAACTACAAAATAAACCAGGCATGGAAAGCGTCGCTTTGAAACTGACAACATCCTGCAAAAACACCGGTGACGGCGACTATTGTCTGCTGGCCACGACGAGATGGAAATGCTGGCGAGTTTCCCGATTCCTCTCCTTTATTGTTTGTCTCGCTGAAACAGCCGGGCAACGGCCGGGTGAGGGCCGGGCCAGGGCTGCCCTCAGGCCCGGCGCGGGGCACCGGGGCCGGCAATGCCCGGCGGTGACAGCCGGAGGCTGCAGCCGCTCCCTCCTCCCCCGGCACCCCCGGCTCTCCAGGGCCGCGCTGGGCGATTCGTTCCCTTCCCGTGCTCCCTCCGGGGCCCGCCCGGGCAGCTCGGCCTCCGCGGCCCGCGGCAGGGCTGAGCCGGATGCTCGCCCTGCGGGCCCCGCCGGCAGCAGCGCCGGGGGGCAGCGGGGAAGGGGCGCCGGGCCCGTCCGAGCCCCCGGCCCGCGCTCGGCGCTAGGCCCGGATCGAATCCCCGGCGTGGCGTGGCCGGGCCCGCCGGCGGCCTTACCGCCTCCACGGCGTGCTGCAGGATGGAGGTGAACTTGGAGAACATCCTGTCCCGCGACTGCAGCAGCCGCTGCCGGGAGGACCTCGAGAGCTCCTCGATCCGCCGCCGCCGCCGCTCCAGGGTGAGGGCTGCATGCGGGGGCCTGGCCGCGGGGATCGGGCGGGCGGGCGCCGGCGCTGCCTCTCGCTCTCCGGCGGACACCGTGGCACTGACACCGCCGGCTGCGCGGCTGCCGAGGCTCCGGGTGTCCTGCAGGGGCCGCCACCCCCGCACGCGGCTCGGCCCGCCCCGCTCCGCTCCGCCCGGCCGCGGGCGCTGCCAGCCGGGAGCGCCGCGTTCCCGCCCGGCCGGGAGCTTGTGCCGGCCCCGGGCTGCGGGCCGGCCGCTGCTGGGCCCCGAGCCAGACCCGCTTCTGTGGGCAGCTCCGGCAGGGAAATGGATCACAGTCACAGACTCACTTGGGTTGGAAAGACCTCTGAGGTCATCGATTGCAACCTTCGACCTTACACCACCATGCCAGCCGGACCGTGACACTGAGTGCCATGGCCAGTTTTTCCTTAAACGCGTCCAGGGTGCTGACTCCACCACCTCTCTGGGCAGTCCATTCCAATGCCTAATCACCCTCTGTGTGAAGAAATTCTTCCTAATAGCTAACCCTGTCACAACTCAAAACTGTGTGGTCTTCTGCTGCTGGTTGCCTGGGAGCAGAATCTGACCCTCACCTGGCTACAACCTTCTGCCAGGGAGTTCCAGAATGATAAGGTCCTCCATGAGCCTCCTTGTCTCCAGGCTGAACAGCCCCCGTGCCCTCAGCTGCTCCTCACAGGACACATGCTCCAGACCCTTCCCCAGTTTCTTTGCCCTTCCCTGGACTAATTCCAGCGCCTCAATGTCCTTCCTGAACTGAGGAGCCCAGAACTGGACACAGCACTCGAGGTGTGGCCACACGGGTACTCAGGACAATCACTTCCCTGGTCCTGCTGGCCACACTATTCCTCAGATAGGCCAGGATGCTACTGGCCTTCTTGCCTACCTGGGCACACTCTGTCTGGGGTGAGGGGAAGGGAGCCCACCTCCACAGTCACTGCAGGCAATGAGCTCAGAAAGTCAGTGACAAGTTGTGGCATCACGATCCCTGAAAGTGTGTAGAAAATGAGTGAACGTGGCACTTTGAGATACTGGTTTAGGGGAATGGTGGCATTAGGTCAAAGCTTGGACTTGACAGTCTGGGAGGTCTTTTCCAAACGTAAATGATCCTGTCTTGTTGCTGCTGCATGAGAGGCTGGTGGTGTGGGTGGCATGGTCCTTGCAGGGTACCACAGATGAGAGGGCTTGTGGCTATGTGCACATTGCTCATTTCACTGTTTGTTTGTTCGGTTTTTTCCTACAGAGAGAAGGAGACAAAGAGAGCTTTATTTCACCTCTGAATCAAATACTTCAGAGAAAAAGACCATCCCTCCCATTTTGTGGCACCACAAGAAAAACAGAGGTAAAGTGGGTGAACAGAAGTTATAGATGTAGCTGGCAAGCAATATGATGTTTTGGGAAAATGTTTGGACACTGGGCAAATTGATGTAGGAGAACAGGATTGTTTGGCACTGGGTAGCAGAGTGAAATGTTGGGAAAGTGATAGACCAGTATGGGAAAGGGAGGAGACCCTGTTGTACCAAATGAAGGAAAGCTTCCACGTTAATTTTTGGAGAGGAATGAACACCAGCTTCCTCATATGCTAGGAGCATGCAGAGAGAGATGAATCAAAATATGGGACAAAACTACTATTTAACTGCTGTTCTTTAAATTGTGTCACCTGGGAAGTCTGTAGCAATGTTGTGATGAAGTCTTACTAATGATTCTGCTGCACTGATTGGTATTACTACCCCTGTGCTTTGCAGGCATGGAGAGCTACAGCCCAAATACTCTATGGAAGTAAATGCTAGTTGTATGTGGACACCTTTATTGCAGTTGTTAAAGAGCTATTTCCTTCTTAAAATCCAGGAGTCCCAATATGTCAATATCAATTTAAAAGGTAATTATGCTGGGTTTTTTAAATCTGCTTCTTCTCTGTTTGTCAACTTATATTCTATAGATGTTCATAGGAAATGCAAATTTTCTATGTGGGTAGCCGTATGATGAAACATCTCTGTGTTTAGGTGATTATTAACTGGACAGGTGCTGCATTTGGAAGGTGCCTGCATATCTGTGTCATTTAGAGAGACAGAGAATGTGGTCATTTAAGGTGCTTTTGCAATCTGTTTTTCCTGCAAAAATGTCTTTTAAATGTGCTTGGGCTGTCTCATCTTCAAGCAGCAGAATGAATAAAGAAACAGTGAGATACCATAAAGATATAAAAGGAGACAGTTTTATCACTGTGAGAGTATTCCTAATCGCAGTTAACAATTTATGAAATCATAAATCACAGAATCACAGATGGTGAGGTAAAACTTTGTAATGCTTGAGGGCCTCTTATTATTCTAAGAGTGACTAATGTATGTAAACGCATTATTATTTAAACAGAACAGTTCATTGTGGTTGAAATTAAGATTTTGGTTGTAAAAGTGACTTTTTATTAAGACTTGTCAACGTGAAATGCCTTGCAGTAAAGGGGAAAAAAAAGAAAATATTACATGTAAATTACTTTTCCTATGCCTATTAAACAAATTGAATCTCTGCATATAACCCTGCATGCACCAACCAATAGATTAGATTTGAATTTGTAGCCATAGTGCAAGATCCAGTCTTTGGTGCTTATATGTCTTGCGAACTGTAGATTTTGGGGTTTTTTAATGATCTTTTAAAGTAGTTTCTCATTTTTCAACCATATGTATGTATTTCTCACTGCTGGGAATATTGGATAAATACTGGCAAACCAATAGTAATGAAATCACTGGAAACTAATGGAAGAACTATTTCACCAGTGTCAGTGCAGAAGAACTCAGCTGGTTCTCAGAGGTTACATTTTGTTTGGGTTCTTCTTGTTCTCATTTGGGATGATTCAATTGGAGATGCTGCAGTTATAGATGGGCTACCAATGTCATGTCATGTGCAACAATACACCTTCACCTGCTCATGCTTGATGTTGTTTCCACTGAAATAAACACAAGTATTGCTACCTTTTTTAATACCCTTGAGAGCACAGTTCTGCTGGCTTGGGGTTGGGGTTTTTTTTTTGCAAGGTAGTTCTTTTTTGGAGAAGTACATGCAGTGAATAGTGTTTTGCTTGAATGTGAGAAGTGAAAGTGTGAAATGTTCTAATTGATAGAGCTTTTGGGAACTTTCTCCTTTCTTACAAATTAATGAAATTGTCTAGATTAAATCAATTTAGATGGTTTGTGACAGTGAGATAATGTGATGGCCTTTTTATCTGAAAATCTCTCTGCTAATTTGATTGATGGCACCAGGCCAGTATCTAATGGATGCATTTGTCTACATTACAGAAGAAGTTCCTGCAGTCTGGACTTTGCTTCAGAGAGCCTGAAGATTTGGTGAATTTTTTTGCCCTAGATGAAAATTTTCCTGAAAATTAGTGCTATGCCAAATACCTGTTGATATTCTGTGCAGTATTTTATTGTGTTTGTAATAATCAGATTTACATCTATGTTTTCAGTGACTATTTGGATGAAATAAAGAATGAAGTTTTAGTGATTCAGCATGGTCTCTGCTTTTGAGGAGGGCTAAGAAGATATTTAACATCATTTTCAGACCTTTCTGATGCTGGGCTTTACTACAGAAAGGGTGCTGCACATTCACACTGAAGAGCGTGCAGTGGAATTGAAGTCATTTTCTGTCATGAATTTTCTGGTTCTGTGCTCTCAGCTGTGTACATCACCTCCCTCCTTGCTGATTCGCTAGCAGCTCCATGTAATCAGCTCATGCAGTATTTCATAAATCCCATTTCCAGGCTTTTCCTGGCCTGTGCATTCTGTTCCACATCTGCACATCTGCTCTTTCTGTGGGGACATTAATTTGTCTTCTGCTGGGTTACAAACTTCCCAGTTTTTCATCTATTGTCTGAGTGCTTACCTGTCACATCTGCAAGAGTCTCCTGACACCAGCACTCATTGCTACCATGGAGGACACAACACTGGGCACATATTGCCTGCCCAGCAGCTATTCCTTGTTTGTGCTTCAGTTACACTCTCTTACCACACTCCTCTACCTTATGTAAAGGAGACCACTAGGAGGTCAGAAGTACATGTTGTCAGTAAAATGAGACATTTCTTTTCAAATCACATCATGTTTTCCTCAAGTATTTCTGTTCCACTGGAAGCACTAAAAACCAGGCTTTCCTCTGTAAGGAAATATATTAATGTTCTGCCATACAGTATCTGTGAGTCCTAGCACATCATAAATTATTGAAAGCAGATAAAATACACTGAGATGTGATCAGTTCAGCCAATTTCACTGCAGGCTGCCAGGAGCACAAGGATACTTTTCTTGTGGTAGTGGAAGCCAAATTAAGGAGATTAAAGATAAACTACTTGGTTTATGCTCTATTGCAACTGTAATGAATGCAAGGGTCTGAATGTGGTATAAATAAACATAAAACTGGATTTTGCCCTAAAATACTGGGGAAAAAAATTGAGTGGTCTACCTTATATAAATTGGTTCCCTCAATCTTTTGTCTGAGTACTTGCAGAGAAGGAAATCTGGAAGCCAGAATCTGTGTGTTTTTCTGGGGAGAATTTAGTTGCTTAGCTTTGACCCTACTAAGAGATTTCTGAGTCATTTTCAGATCAGCTCTGACTGCATTGTTTGTTTTCTAATGCATAATAAGATTTCATTGTTACTTACATCTTTGGATTAAAGACTATAATCTGTTGATCCCTAAAATTTCATCAGATAATCTGTTTAATCATAAGCAAAAGCTGATCTTGATAGTCCATATGAGTTACGCAAATTAAATCAGGCACATTACTACCATGCAAGTATAGAAGCTTTCAGCAGAGCTTTCTTTCTCATTAGTCCACAATTAAAAGTAGGTTTTTGTCATACTTTAAATTCTCATATCTTTGTCCTGAGGTATAATTGAAATCTCTCATGGAGCCTGACATTAAATGTTGGCTCCGTAAAACATCTTAATTTTGAAGCGTCTGAAATATTTATGATCCACTCGGTAGTGGCTTCGCGATTAATT